CGTGCTCCAACTCCTTCTGGGCATTCTTCGCCGCGTCGATATCCTCTTTATCTTCCGCCTGTTCGAAGACCCGAGCACTGCCGGAGACCCGATTCTCGAGCACCCGATCCATCGCAGCGCTGGCCTCGTCCTGACCCTCGAGCACGTCCTCGCTGCTGATCATGTCGCGCACGTTCAGCTTGGTAAAGTAGTCGGTGGTAAACTCACCCTCTTGGATGACCACGTCGTCCAGCATCCGCTTCTGGTTGGCTTTGCGAAGAATGTTGGACTCGATCGTGTACTCCGACACGAACCGGTAGATGTGCACGTCGCGAGTTTGTCCAATACGATGGCAACGATCCTGGCACTGCTTGTCCATCGCCGGGTTCCAGTCCAAGTCATAGAAGATCACGGTGTCGGCGCCGGTCAAGTTGATTCCCAAGCCACCGGAGCGGCTGGATAGGATGAATGCCAGAATGCGGTTGTCGTTGTTGAACCGATCAGTGAGAATCTGACGCTGCTCAACTTTGGTGGTGCCGTCCAGTCTCAGATAGCGGTGACCATGGATGTTAAGAAATTGTTCCAGGATATCGAGCATCTTCGTCATCTGCGTGAAAATCAGGGCCCGGTGTCCGCCCGCTTTGAGGTCCCGAAGTAGCTTGTCGAGTCGTTGTAGCTTGCCGCAGTCGTATTGCAGAAGTCTCTTGTCCGGGAAGGCGATTGATAATCGCATTTGTGCTTCGTGAAACGGGTCATAGGGCGGGAAGCGTTCTTTATTGGTCAAATGTCGGGTTTCGATGGGGGTCAATGCGGCCGCGGTGACTCCGGAAGCAACTGCTGCAGGGGTCACACAAGCAAAACGCTGGACGTAGCCATCCATCACCTGAGACCGTTCTTCAATGGACAAGATCATCGATGCGAGAACGGATGAGCGGCTTGATAGCCAATCAGACAGGGAGCGTTTCCGCAACGGTCCATTGGTAGTCGGCCGCTGCTTGCTGTCCGCCGTGAGGAACTCGATGAGACTCGATCCGTATACAGGGCGGCGACCGTGCCGTTTAGATTCGAAGTAGAGACACCGCTCTAGTTCCGCCATCCTCCTCTTCCTGGACTCATTCTCCAAAGCATCTAAAGTGGATTGTACACTCGAGCCGTCAAAGATCATCTGCCAGTTGGTGCGATGATACTGCTGTTCGCGTAGCGTGTTGAAGGGGCCGTAGGCCATGAGCCTTGTACTGTCGTCCGCTAACCTGCGAGAGATATCCTCGCGGGAGATGGGAACCAGGTTGAGGAAATCCAGGTCAAGTTTTGTGAGCGGATGTTCATATAACAAACGCCGGCGCACAAGAAGATCCTTGATCTCGTATTCAGTAACCACAGACCGTGGCATTGCAAACGAAGTTGAAATAGGACGCGTCTCAAAGAGATCCGGATGATTGCAAACTTTCCGTAATTGCATGAGGCAGTTGATGATCGAAAGGTAGTTACCCGAAGCGAGAGTTTCCTTCGTCTGGGCCCTAGACATAAATCCATCATACAAATAACGTTGGCGCTTGGAGAGCCTGCAGTAGACGACATGCTCGTATTTCGCTGGCATTTGCTTCTCAACATCGGCCTTGAGGCGACGCAAGATGTACGGCCGCAAAACAGTGTGGAGTTTTGTGACGACTTGTTTTGCTTCGTCATCCATTGTCTCTCGACCATGTTCCAAGATCTGCTCGACTGGGCGTCGGAACCACTCGGAGAAATTCCTCAGATCTGCGAATGCTTCCATGCCCTCCTCATCACTATCTGACGGCATCAGGAAGAAAAGCAAGGACCATAGTTCAGTCAAATTGTTCTGAAGCGGTGTTCCGGTGAGTAGAAGGCGAGCCCGAGTCCTGAAAGTAAGCAGCGCTTGCCACCTCTGAGATCGGAAGTTTTTGATGTTATGAGCTTCGTCTAGGATCATGTAGTGCCAGCTTCTCCTTTTTAACACTTGCTGGTCTTGTAGGACAAGTTGATACGAGGTTATGAGGACATTCCAACTGGTATCATCCATCCAGCCTTTGCGCTTTTGCCGACGTTCCTCTTGATTGCCATAGTAAGTCATGATCTTAAATCCAGGGCACCATTTCTTGAATTCCATTTCCCAATTGAGAATCACACTCGTAGGGACAACCACCAAGTGAGGACCCCAGACTTCATGCTCAACGGCCAAGTGTGCCAACAGAGCTATTGTTTGGATGGTTTTGCCGAGACCCATCTCATCAGCAAGAATCCCATTGATGTTGTTTGTGTAGAGGCCAGCCAACCAGTCTAAGCCAAAGTGTTGATATTCTCGCAGAATCCCTCTAAGCAGATGTGGCACGGGGGTCTTCAATCCAGGTACTGAGGATTCGCTGGCCGGTAGCTGCTGTTCAGGCGTTTCATATGATGAAACAGATTCCGGCTCAGAAGGTTTCGTGGCAATCGTGCCCGGAGATGCTTCACTGGACGGCTCCTTGCTTGGGAAACCATTCAATTCAGAGTGGTCATTGCCTTGTGCGCTATCAGGTCGAGGTAGCAATTCAGGTTCAACAATCTGATCTGGGGTTTCGAGGGCAGCAGCATCTGTCATCTCAAAGTCTGGCGTTGTTTTTTCACCAGGAGTGGACTCAAGCACGGGTTCAGAAGTAGGCCCGGGGGATAGGCCAGGCGCAGGGGAAGTTTGAGGGAGCCCGGGTGATGGGAGTGAGTCCTTTGCAGGTCCATTCGGTACGAGAGAGACTTCGTCAGGGTCTTCCGACTCCTCATCTTCCTCCTCACCAGCAGATGCTGTTTTTGCATCCGTTTCTAAGTCATAATCGGAGGTAACCTCGTCGCCATCACTATCTTGTTCTAAGGCAATATCCTTAGCCGAGAAAAATCCCAACAATCCAGGCCCATCGTTACTTTCTGCTTCGGAATCCACCTCGTCATAATCATCACCATCATCGCTGCTGCTCATGTCGTCATCATCCATATCAGTGGACTCGTCTTCACTGTCGTCAATTAGCACTGGATCAACTTCCTCGAGTTCGATATACTGATCAGATCGGGCGTTTGTGGGCGGGTCTACTGATCCACCATCCCGGTCTAACACGTGATCAGTATCTGAAATATCGCCGCCGCCGAAGGAAGCTGGGTCATCAGCGACCACGGAGTCGTGATCGGAATCAACTGTAGCTTCCGGGAGGTTGGCGTATTTCAACCGTAGCTCCTCGGCTGTTAAGCCCTCGTCATCATCAACATCGTTATCGTCCTCACTCTCAGAGTCCGAGGAGGACATATTGTCCTCGTCGTCGTTGTCGCCGCCGCCGTCATCTGAGAGGCCATCTGACTCCGCTTGCTCTCCGTCGCTTGAGTCAAGGGCGTCACTCCCGGTTTCGCCAAGGATTTCCAGGCGTCGCTTTTCAAAGAGCATTGTTGACTGTTTTATAGCACGATCCAACGCCTGTTGGTCTTCGGCTTTTCGCTCTTCCTCCCAGCGTGCTAAACGCATCCTATCCACCTCGGCTCGTGCTAGATCAAACATCTTCTGAAGATCCTTAGCCATCTGTCTACGTTTCCCTCGCATCTCCTCCTGTTGTTCCCGAAGTATATCTTCGGGGTCTTTGTTGCGCTTCCTCCATGCATCAGCACACCACTGCGCAAATAGTCTTGCCGTGTTGCGGTGACGCCTATGCTCTTGATCGAGAAGCTTTTTGAAGTAGGAGACGTGGGCCACGAGATGATCTTGATGAGAATACTGCTGCGGCGGTTCCTCCTGCTGCTCTGGTAAGAACGCAGAACATACCTCCGGGCTCAGAAGACCCCCCGGCTCTGCCGCTAATGCGACCCGGCGTCTCTTCAAAGCCTCTTCAAGCGCGTCGGCCGGTGCGAGAACCGTGGGGTCCTTTGTTCTACCATCATCGCTATCCAGCCATTCCTTGAACGAGTTGAATTTTCGGGGCGGCAAAACGTGAGACGGATGCTGAATTTCAATCATCGGTCGCTTGACTTTGATCCGTAATCGCGGAACTGGCTCGTCGGAATCATCAAGGCAATCATACCCGTCATCTTCGGGTTCCTGGCCTAAATTATGCTCACCCTCCAAGGTCGCGGGAGTACTCGTATTCAAGGCGGATCGGCTGTGTCGGCTGGAGCCGTTGACAGCGCCCTGGGAAACACGACGCGAAGTACTGGAGCTGTGCGATCGTGTCCGCGTCTGAAGCTGCTTGGGTGCCGGCGATTGCGATGTCAGACTATGTCTCCCTGTAGACCTCCTTGTCGTGGTGCTTCGAGGAGAACCATTGATTACGGCGCCGCCAGCTATAGACCTTCCATTCCGCTCCGGTTGTGTCGGCGTGGCAAACGGTGACGACGCGACGCCTCTCGAGCTACCAGACGCATTCTTACTCACAAACTTATTTTGAGCCGCACGGGTGTGTCTTTTGTCGGATGGACTCTGCAGCTCGAGGGGAAGCGCGTTGACTCGCGATGACTTGCGCCTACCATCCAGAATGAAGGATGTCGGCCCATCGTGACCGGCCTTCTTCCACGGGGGTGATGCTGGGCGGGAGGATGAGCGACGTGACGGGGTAGACCCCGCGAGTTTTCTTCTCTTCGATGGAGGTCCGTCAGGATGTTCGGCGACAGGCCCGTCGTCTTCAGTTGGGAGAGCAGCAGAGTTCAAGTCGCGGGTGGCAGAAGGTGTTGGAAGCTCCGTGGGAAGGACATCGGACGGAACGGCGTCGATTTTGGGGGTCACGCTTTCATCTTGGAGTAAAATTCCGTTCGGACTACCGTTTTGCATTTCTTGTAATGTCGGAGACAGGGGCCCTCTGGACAGCTGACCCCAGTTTTCCCAACGAGGACGCGGTCGAGATGGGAAAAAATGACATCAACGTGTAGAGAGAACTGAGTCGAAGTGCCACGAGGAATTTGGCATAGTTATCGGCCCTGTAGCGTGACTGGCAGGCGAAAACCAACGCGGAGGGAGTGATTGCGTTGCAGAGGTGGTTTTTTCGTCCGGTGACATGGAGGCGGACGGGGCGCGCCGTGTATTAGTTAAAGTAGAGTACGTAGTATGTAAGCTTCGCTCAGTGTTTCCCGCCTCAGGCCATCAATTGTCTCCGCCTTTACTCTCCACCAATCATATCTCTTGGATTCCCCGTCATCGCCCACTGCATGGCTGGACGGGAGTCGCTTTCAGTTTCAACTTCGAGCCTCAAGCCTCTCCTTCGTCCCTTTCCGCTGTCCTGCACCTACTTTGACCTTTCCGACTTGCTCCATAACTGATTACAGCACCAAAGGTGAGTAACTCGCATCTCTATCTCTATCAAGGAAGCGAAGCTTCCTGTGCCTCTCTGTCACTGTGCCTTCAATTATCTCAATTGTCTCTCTGGGCAGTCGCTAACCTCGAATACATTTCACCAGATGCTGTCTCAACGGATCTTGGCCCGGCGCCTGCCCCAGGTGGCCGCCCGCTCCACCGTCCCTCGTGCTTCGTTCTCCCAGCTTCGCAGTCTGGCCGCGCCGGAGCTTGATGACCCCCTTCAGGTATGAGCCGATGGACAACTGTGACCCTTCAACTCAATCACTGGCTCACCGAGCGGAATTGACACCATCTTTCCACGGCTTGCAGAACGGCAACTACCAGAACCCTCCCCGTATGAAACGGGCCTTCAGAGATCCCTATGGCGACTGGTGGGACAAGCAGGAACGCCGCAACTTCGGCGAGCCTGTTCACGAGGAGAACGAAATTCTAGGTGTCTTCAGCCCTGAGCAATATACCCATGTGACGTCTGGCAAGGGTATCCTTCAGATCGGAGCCTTCATCGTGGCTTTCCTCGGCTTGTGCGGAACCGTCAGCCTTTTCTACCCTGATAAGCCCAGCGTTCCCAGGACCTTCCCCGACGGTTTGGAGAAGGAGCTGGGTGGACCCAGGGCTGTGCCCGTACGTCGATACTGCATCCCGTTTCGTCCTGGTGTGTTTACGCAATTAATACTGACTGCTGTGAATTTGCTGCTCTCTAGGCCCGTAAATCTGGCGAAGACTCGTGGTGATCGAATTAACCTCTGATGCGATGTAAATAAGTACAATATGATTTTCGCTGTTGTTTTCAACCTTCCATGCGTGGTTTCAGCGAACATTGGTGCAGCGGAGAAGGGTCATTTCCCAATCGCTAAATTCTCAGGCAGGCCTCAGATATTATTCGCAATGACTGTCTGTTCTGCTGTCATTCATCGGCCGTAATGCGGGCGGGCTAAATCAGGGAATGTATGGAACGGGGACCTATACAGGGATCTCGGCCACTGGGCAAGTGGGGGGTTTCATATGAGAATCGCATGGCTCCTGGGAAGCTTCATCCGGTCGGGATAATCAATTTCAGAAGAAAACCACAGTCTGCGCGATCCTCTCATGACTCGCAATATGCACTTTTCTGGGTCACTGCTTTTGGGTTGCTGTGGACTGTTGAAAGTAGGAGGGGTTCTTGTATTGGTGTTCGCCCTGGTACTTTTGTCTGTCTGTATTTATGTTTAGGATTTACCGCACTCTATACCGTAGTCTAGAAACAGGGTCTATGTCGAGATTATGCCTACAATTAGATCCAAGCCAGGGTGGGCAGTTATTGAGACTGTATGTACTGTACAGTGTAGGGCGACTATTACCTACGTCAGTCCCTTTAAATGTTACTTAAAATGGGGGCGGGCGCAAGCGGTTTTTGTTTCACCAACCACCACTAACTACAACAAACACCTTTGAACTACCGCAACAATAAACACACCACTTCTCACCGTCTCCCCTTCCCCCCTTCTTTTTTACCTTTCTCTCGTGTAGCCGCCCGGCTAAAATCTACTGCAGCTTGCTCTCTAGTTACGACCCAAGTATTATTCCTCTGCCGGGTCTTTTTGCATTTGGGTCCTGGGAGTTCGTCGGAAAGTCACCCTTGCGAGGCAGCTATCTCCACCAGCACTCCCTCCCTTACCAAGGGCCATGCTGTTGCTGGTTTGATCACAATACCAGTCTATCCCATGATCTCTCTTACTTCTAAATACTGCACTATCTATTCTGAGGGTTCCCAAGATATAGAAAGGAGTTATCCACCGACCGCGAGAACCGACACCGCCTCTTCTTCCGATGTCGACAGCATCTACCCAGTCCCGCGGACTCAACCGACGGATCAACAGCATTCAGAATGAATCTCGCCATTCGCGCACTCCGTCTGGGTCCCGCAAGCGTCCCGTAAACTCCTCCACTGCCTACACCTATGCGCTCCGGGTCGCTTACTTGGCCTATCTTCTCCAACCACGACTGCGCCGGGTCCAAACTGTCCCAGCTCCGCAACGGCCCAAGAGAGCGTCGACCTCCTTTCATGATTTAATGAGCGACTTCTCGCTCGTGCGAGATTCGAAGAGCACTCGGATTCCCCATGGGTTCATATCGGAGCTGGAGAAGAGGCTGACTGGGGTCCTGATTGGGAAAGAGAAGCGGAAAGAATACCAAGATCCGCTGGTCGTGAGGACCTTTGCTGCTTTTCTCAACACCCTGAAGGATCAGTCGTTCAAGAAGCGCATGGAAAAGGATCGGCGGGCCGAAGACCTCGTCCTGATCTTCTATTCGAACGCGACCAAGGAATTGAGCAAAGGGAAGGAACCCGATGATGATCACTGGAGATTCATGGTGGACAGACACGTGGCTCTTTTTGTCCGTTTGTTTGCACTTATTCTAAAAGACCACGACTGGGCCAAAGAACGGCCTGAACTGGCCAATCGACTGGCGGTTCTAGAGAACAAACTTTTGTCTCAGGATCAGGATCTTGTGCAAACGAATGGCACCTCCAGCGTAGAAGTTATAGCCCCGTTAAGCTACGATATCAGAGACATGCCCCTCGTGCAGCATGTTGCCAGAATTTTCGATGTGAACCAGGGCCAGGTGCAAGCCGATGTCAATAATAATCGAGGCGTCTGGACGGGACAGGCCGCCCTGCGAGATTTGAAGACCTACCAAGCTCATCTAACCCTCAAAACTCGAAAAACGCTGTCTCGGGAAGACTTTGAGAATGATGAAGCATACGAGCTGTGGAAGAAGAACGAGGCTCCAGATCTATCCCAGATGATGCTTGCGATTGTGCAATCTAATCCTGAATTGGCTAAGAGCACCCCTGGAGGCGCCCTTCCACAATTCAATCCGAGCGCTGCGGACCAAGATCCAGCAGGGGAGCTTTCGAGAACAAATTCCGAGCGACCGTCATCATACGTTATAGACCAGCCCGTGGATCTCAGCTCATTGTCCCTGGCTGACGATGGTATGAACGGGACGGACGAATCTGATACATACACCTACATACCCCAGGACCCCCGGTCCATGTATCGGTTTATACTAGCCCAAGCTCTTGGTCACGACCTGAAGGACCGTGAACTTGAGGCCTCTCAGGCTACATCAGAGGCACCCCTTATGAAGCTATTGTCAAAGCAGTCGACTGAGCTCTTAAATGAGATCTGTCTTCGCTGGCGTGTTCCTGCTTTCTCAAGAATGGCTCTCTTTCTGGATGTTGTGCGGTCCAAATTCGTTGACAATGAAATCGATCTTGACACCCTCGACTCCGCATTCGCATTTGTCAAGGAAGCGCCGAACTCGGACGGCAGGAAGCGTAGTAGCTTCGTGGCGTCGGTTCTGTTCGACCGTAAGAAGTGGACCATCCACGATCTTCTATTGATGCAACAAATATTATCCTCCCTTCACGAGGCGCTTCTACGAGAACTCTATGATGTGATGATGGACTGCTACGAAACTAAACCACGTCCGATTGGTCCGGTGATGTACATACTGGAAACCCACATTCAGATGGACCCCAGCTATACCGAAGATCTGGAAGATATCGATCGCTTCCGCTCGTACGTGCAGGATGGCCTGGCGCAGAAAGCCTCGGAAAAGTATCAAGAACTTTTGGGGCAGCTTATCCCGGTGCAGCCAGAAGAGTGGGAAGTAGACCATGTGATTCAGTTGTGTGATGCGATCACGAAGCTGGCGCAGAAGATCCGAAAGCGTTATCGCAACAATCCGGAGATTATGGGGTAAGAGATGTCATCACCAACGCAAGCCGTGTTTGATTCACACTGATTGAAACTTAGGGTCAATCCTTATCTGATTTTACTCTCCAATGTACTTCCAATATTTGCGGAAGACGCTCACGAGATGGTGGCTCGAATAATAGAGTTAGAGAACGTTCGAGGGGAAGAAACTGACATACAAGATGGATTTGACCTCTACCGTCGACTCGCAGATGTCCGTCGTCTTTTTACGGAGGCATTGCCTGAGTACGTCCCCCAAACAGCTCCTTCGACCTGACACAAATCCGGATGCTGATTACAGTACTTAGCGTATCGTTTCCGTTCCATGTAGAAGGCCTGATGGAAAACTTTGTCTGGCGGTGGATCCGCCTGACGGACCAAAAGGTCATGGATTGGGTGGAGCAGGCAGTTAAACAGGATGCCTTCAACGTCCGAGCCGATGGCTCGGCGGAAGAGATACCTGAAGATTACAGACACAGTGTGTCTGTCATTGACATTTTCCGTTCTTTCAACCAGTTGGTGGAACAAATGATACAACTGGAGTGGGACGACGACTTGCAGTATGCGAAATTCATGACGGCTCTTTCCAAGTCTATCGGCAGCGGTGTTGCGAGATACTGCGAATCCTTGGAGCAAATGTTTGCGAAGGAAATGGATCGTCTTTCTCCGGATCAGGAGGCTGCTATGAATCAAACGGCCCAGGAGAAGCTAATGCAAATCGCTAAAGAAGCATGGACAAGTAAAGAGAAGATTGAGCCCTTCCAGTTCTTCCCCGAGGTGCGTTCGTCTGAAATCCCTTGTTCGGGCATCACTAACCATATCATTCAATACAGTCCTTAGTCAAACTTAACAATGTCGAATATGCACTCTCACAGCTTGACAAGCTTGAGCAAGAAATCAACGTGGACGGTTGCGCAGAGGTTATAGCAAGGCATGCGGCACCTCAATTACAGAAGATACGCAAGTCGACGACCTATGTCTTTACCATCAAGGTTGTGGAGGCAGAAGATCTGAAAGCCTGCGATATGAACGGCGGCAGTGATCCTTACGTCGTTCTGGCTGATGAATATCAGAAGCGCATTGCGAAGACTCGCATCATCTATAACAATCTGAACCCACGGTGGGACGATGCGGTAGATATCACCACACAGGGTCCTCTAAACATCATTGCCACTATCTGGGACTGGGATGCAGTGGGCGATCACGATTATGTCGGACGGACGTCGATCAAGCTTGATCCTGTACATTTCAGTGACTTTCTTCCGAGAGAATACTGGCTGGATCTAGATACCCAGGGCAGACTGTTGCTTCGTGTGAGCATGGAAGGAGAGCGTGATGACATTCAGTTTTACTTTGGCAAGGCCTTCCGAACATTGAAGCGGACGGAGAGAGACATGACGCGCAAGATTACAGAAAAGGTGAGTACAGATACGTCCTAATCCGCAGAACACTCTAGTAATATTTCCATAGCTGTCTGCGTACATCAGTCACTGTTTGTCGCGCCGGACCCTCAAATCCCTCCTGTCACGAGGGCTCAGCATTTCAAGTGTTTCCAACTTTCTCAATCGGAACCGTGCTCAATCGAGCACCGCCACACCCTCGAGTGCGGATGTGGAGAATGCGTTGACGCCCCTTTTTGATTACTTTAACGATAACTTTGCTATCATGAACAAGACTCTCACCTCCGAGGCTATGAAAATGGTGATGGCACGATTGTGGAAAGAGGTCCTCGCTACCATTGAGAGTTTGCTAGTACCGCCCCTATCAGACAAGCCCTCTCACCAAAAGCCTCTGACGATGCAAGAAGTTGATATTGTCGCACGCTGGCTCGTGCTTCTACTAAACTTCTTCCACGCGGTAGATGAGGAAACTGGAGAAGCTCACGGCGTGTCCATCGATATCCTCAAGTCGCCCAAGTACCATGAGATTCAGACACTGAACTTCTTCTATTTCGAACCCACCGAGAGCTTGATACGCACCTCGGAGCGGATGGCCTCCGCGACAATCTCGCGCCAACAGGCCAACAAAAACCGCGCTTCAGCGCCTCCCCATCTTGGTGCCTCCGGTCCGGGCAGTGTTCTGGGCCTGCCGGCTGCCCGTCGTGCCAAGAGTATCATGCTCTCGCGCAACCTCGGTACGATGCGAAAGTTGAAGGAGGAGAAATGGCGCGAAGCCCAAGCGGAACCGAACGATGACATGATCCTGCGTATCCTACGTATGCGTCCCGAAGCTGCAGGCTACCTTCGCGATCGCAGTCGCCAAAAGGAGCGACTAGCAGCAGCCGCGGCGGCAGATGCCATTGTAAAACAAAGCTTGATGGCCGGAGCTGGGGGTAAGATGACGGGTCTCCTTGGACGTCGATGAGTGTCTAGAAGCGACCACTGCATTCCAACTAATGGTCCCCTTTCGTTGTTCAGGGGAGACGACGCCTGCTATATCCGCTCTTGCCCGCGCGCGTTTTACATTTTGACATGATTCCCGCCACCAGGTTGATCTTAAGTGCGTCTATTTGATCTGTTTAGTTTGTCTTTGCATGGGTACGTGGGGACCTGGGGTCCAGGCGTGAGCTCTGGAGCACTAGCCAAGTCTTAACATAGCGTAATGATAGTTAATCACAGCCACCGCCTAGGCAAGCTATGACTACGTAAAGGTCCTCTACCGTGGTAGACTCTACAATTACCCCGGCGGAAGACAGAACTCAATTCGAGATAAGAACATAGTTCAATTAGCCGGCTGGCTACCTTTGATGGGACAATTTTCTGGAGACGAAATCTTCGTTTCCCAGTGCATGTACCGTACTGTACTAATCTATTCCAACTGTACACCAAGCCATCGCAGTGGTAGATAGATACATCAACTAAACTCAAGCCAAGGCAATGCACTCGATCTCGACGGGCACGCCCTTGGGCAGCTGCTTCACAGCGAAGCAAGAGCGGGCGGGCTTGTGCGCGAAGAACTTGCCGTACTCCTGGTTCATCTCATCGAAGTCGGCCATATCGGCAAGGAGGACCTAAAAATCCCACACCCGCCGAACAGGGTGAGAAACCATCAGCCCCTGCAACCAACCAACCAACCAACCAACCAACCCACCATTCTGCAATGGAAACAACAACCACACACCCAAAAGGGGGGACGGGGGGGTGCAAACATACCGTGACCTTGAAGATCTTCTCGACGCTGGAGCCGGCAGCCTCGACGACGGCCTTGATGTTCTCGCAGCAGAGCCGGGTCTTCTCGCCAATGGTACCCTCGATGAGAACACCGTCCTTGGTCAGCGGGATCTGGCCGGAGAGGAAGATCTGGCCGTTGACCTTGATGGCTTGGGACTGTATCCGTTCGCAGCATGGTGCTTGTGGTGAGTAAAAGGGTGGTGAAATAGCTTTGCGTTATCCCCCTCCCCCGCTAATGAGGGGGGAGAAGGAAGGGAACGCAGGAGAAGCGGGGACGGGGACTCACGTAGGGGCCGACAGCTGTGGGAAGATCAGGAATGGATTAGCAAGTGACTCTCTTCTGAATTAACGGTATTGGGGTTGCATATGAGGGATGACGCCGGTGGGGAGGGGCATTTCATCTCATTCAATCCTCAATTGTCCGGGGATGGCGGGGTAGAAGAGCACTTACGCTGGGCAGCACCAGCAGTGTGGACAATGTCAAGACCGGTAGACATGGTGACGGATTGATGGAATCTTGGGCGGGGGAGGAGGGGAAGGGAGCGGCGAAGAGTTCGGAGGGTAGATGGAGTTGAGGTTGAGGAGGAAGCGAAATGGGCGAGCAGAAGACGAGCACCCAAGGGCAACATTGGAGTGAGTGGATGAGGGGAACTCCGCGGCAAACTGGCTTATCCGCCCGACATCGGGAAAGACTGACTTGAATCACAGGGTAACTTACATAACGCCAGCTTGCTTGGCTACTATAGTATCTAACTTAACGTTAGTATTATTTACCACTACAAATGTCTTTACTGGAAGCTATCTTGGATGATATGCAAGGCATTGAGACACTAGTGTTGGCGGAATATGTCCTGATATGTCAAATATACACAAAAATATGTGTTATGTACAGAGTCATGAATAATATGTCATAGCATCATTAGGATATCAAGGTGATCAGAACGGGGAAATCGAGGCTGTAAGATTCACTCGAAGTGCCCTAACTTGCCCAGCTGCTGCAGAACTAAGGCCGTCTGCTCTGCTGAGAACCCGAAAAACACCGGTCCATTGAACACCACGCTGTTCTTCGCCGGGTGCGGCGTAGGGTTGGCCGCATCGTGCGATTTCTCGCGGTCTTCCTCCATGGGGTCTTCGGTGTGTTTTGATTGCTCGGGGTCTCGGGTTTTCTTCGCGTCTTGAGGCACTGCTGGGGCCTTGTTTTGGGTGTCACCAGAAGGCGCACCGTGGCCAAAGGGGCAGCGTCCGGCCTTCGGGGGCACGGCGTGACGCTCGGGCGACAAATCACCCATGGGCACGCTGGAAGATATATCGACGGCGGGTGTTCGAGGTGAAGGATGAGCTGTTGAATTGAGGGAGGTGGCAACCGGTGCTGCTGGAGACTGGGGAGCAGATGTGGTGACAGGGAGCGGCGTCACCGGGATAGGGATACCCCAAGGCCTGCTTGGAGATTCTCCCACGCGAACTTCACGCAGAGGACGGTCAAAATGCCCCTTGCGCTCCTCGTCTTCTTGCTCGACCTCACCTTCCTCGCCTTCCTCTTCTTTGATGGGAGGATGCATGTCCGACTTCAGGCCCACTTCTTCGGCCCATTTCTCTACTCGTTCAGCAGACGAGCTTGATGGCGGTGCTCCGTTCTGGTTCGTACCGGGGAGGAAGGCTCGATGTTTGACGGACAGGCCTTGGATCATGCTGATCAGATTACCATACTTTGCATCTAAGTGCCGCATGGTCTGCGAGTCCCGTTGATACCGCTGGACGCAGATTGCATGGCTCCTGGGGATTTCATGCTTGTGTCTTTCGACATAGTCGGCGATCTCCTCCGGGCTATGCTGGTCTAGATATCTTATGGGACATCGCGAAACGGGGCAACGGGTGTTCGAAGACCGGGTCGAGGGCGCGCGACTTGAACGCCTATCATTTTGCTCGGCTTTGATCGGGTCCAGGTCGGCATGCCCACACGTGTCCTCGTTGTTATCCTGGGAGGCCAGCTCGACTCCGTTGGACTCTCCATTTTCAGAGGGCTTATTGTTAGGCTTCGCAAACGGGCAACGCAAACTCCCCTGCGTGCCCTTGGTAGTGAAGTCTTTTTCTAGGGTGCGAGGAAGTCCCGCTCTCGTGGCAACAAGACATGAGTTAAGGTTAAGCGGCTGCTTAGCATCGTGGGGTGGTATGATAGATAGATAGGATGTCAATCCCTCCCTAATGGAGGCAAGAGCCACATCTCCTACATTGCCGGACTCGGCAAGCGATTTTACTACGTCCGACAGGCTGGCTTGTTGTTTCGGCTGGTACTGATATTCGGCAAAGCGACCAGCGATTTTCTCAGCGACGATTTTGGTATGACCGTCAGGACCACCGGGGAATTTGTCTGCTAACTTGGAGTACTGACGAGGGAAGTTAGCATGTGAATTCCCAGGCAAGGTGAATGGACACAAAGCAAAATAAGCAAGTTGTGCAAGTCTCATCAGATAATACATGATATATCCGTCACCGCCGCAGATGCGACTCCTGATCTAGAGCTAATCGATTTTTCTCGTCCTTTGAGACAGAAGGGGTATTCAAGGCAGATGTGGGAGAAGGGGTTGGAAGAATTTACCTCGATAGAGGCATATTCCAGCCTTTGCTGCAATGTCCTTTCTTTGCAGCTGAATTGTTGGGTGGTCAGTAAAAGAGCTTCAAAGGCTCTGGCCAGAGTTTGCAGCTGGAGATCCAGCTGCGGCTGAGGATCGATGGGAGCAGGTGACATTTCATGCATCAGGTCTGGAATTACACAGCAGACAGTACATCTGATAATCTGGCCAAGCACTTCTGCCGTGAGCAGAAGTGCGGAGGAATCATTGAGGGGAGGGGGGGGGGGAAATCTTGGAGGGGGCGGAAGAATGAAACGACGAGGCCCCTCGAGCTGCTTTAAATGAACGGAAGCTAAGCGAGTTGGTCAGTGCGCATGTCACATGATAATCTGTCAGGCAACGTGCTTCCACCTGACCATGACTAGGGACCTGCCATCCTAGCTCTAAGTCTAGTTTTGGATGGTAAGTCAGTAGTTTAGCCCCGCTTAACACAGTAGCCCGGCTAGCTCAATCGGCAGAGCGTGAGACTCTTAATCTCAAGGTTGCGGGTTCAACCCCCGCGTTGGGCTTATCTTTTTCTTCTTTTTGTCTTTTCTTTACATATGAGCGTGGACCAATTCGGTACGCCACCCGCAGTGTACGCTGGTTAATAGATCTAGCTTTGAGTTGCAATACCAGTCTCTCGTTGAGCGACATCGACAGCAAGGTCGAGGGGTATATTTCGCCAGAAGACTCAACCGAGCGAGATTCGAGTTGTTTCTGGTGTTGATAAAGATTGCGACGATTTCTATCGCATGGTGTATTTGGTCTTGGGCCGATCAATAAATAATCATGTCAACGTATATGCCTAGATAGTCCAGACATGGACCTTGGGTAATCCGCACCCCTTGAGATATCTAGATAATCCCACTTACCAAGCCAGGCAGTGCCGCTGCATGCCCGCTGCATTGTGGATATAAAGGCGGAGATTTGGTATCAAAGCAAGACAATGTCAGAGGGTTGACGATCCTAGGACCAGCCAGATTACAGGGCTATGGTGGCTTGCGTATGGTTTTCTGCACCATGCAGATGGTCTAGATGTTCGCTCCGCGTTAGTGGATTTCCAAGCACTGGTCAGTATAAATCATGCAGTCCCGCTAGTACTATAGACCAAGCACGACATCAAATGAGGTTGCTTTCCCAGCGGCGATTTTTCCGAGCAATATGAGGGGAGGGCAGTCTAGTCTAGTATGCAGGGAGGAGACAGGCTAGGCGACCAGTGCACGGCTAGGCAACGTTGCGCTTCAGCTGCAGGTCCGACAGCCACTTGGAGTAATCGACCGGGGTCGGCGGTAATTTACTCAACGTAGTAGTAGGATCGCAGGTATTTTCGAGTCTGCAGTAGTGAATCATGCATGGTCTTGATCGAGTGGCCAGCCTGTCACATCATCTGGATTCTGGATCCCCAGCCAAGTCGGGTTAGACGGCGAAGTCGGAGGAAAGGCGGCGGTGTAGATGGAATCCGGTCCTCTGATCGCCTTTGTCGAGCTTCATTGGGATCCTTTGCGATCCATTGTGATCGTCCAACATCCACACGTGTTGCCCCGATTGGCGAGAACCCGGTATAACCTCAAATTAGTCTTGTTTCCCGTTCTTTCCTGTGCAATTGTTGCGAGGCCACGGCTATGATCGTCGGAACAAGGAAAATGTGGTATATATATGAAGTAACCGGGGTGGATTCCTGTTAGCAGTCCATGTCCATGGAAGACGAAAGACAGATCCGAGTGCAGCACAGCATAAGAAGCGGAGGTGACGACAACGATGATGATCCATCAGAAACACATCATGGTATCCATTGCAGCCGCCCCATCAACAGGGGGAATGCAAGTGCCACGATGATTGTGACCATGGTGATATGTTACACCAGCCGTCATCTATACTGTACAATAATAACCATTACCTGTCAGAGCATCTGTAGCCAAATGGTAGGATAGAGGAAGTGGGGAAAACCATCGACCCTGGACTCCTGGAGCAGGTGTAAAAGGGCCTGTTCTAGTTCGGGTAAGGTCAAGCCCCTGTGATACCAATTGGAATTGAAACACTTTACAGTACTCCGTACATACATATCAACCTACAGAATGAAAATACATCAACAGCCTTTCTCGCTATGGCACCATCGGCCGGAGGGGCAAAAGAACCCGCATCAACCAAAGGCACCGGAGCAAGATAATGCAAGAGATCGGCTTGATGGCTGGCAGGAGAGGTATGCTTTATCCCTCACAGTAGGTTGTTATATCAGTACACAGTAGAAGTATTGGTTTCGTGATGTCCTTCCAGTTGGCTGAGGAGGGAAGGGAGAGGGAGAGGGAGAGGGAGAGGGAGAGGGAGGGATGGAGGGGATGATGGATAAATGGATAAGGAATAATAAAGAATACAGACTGTTACAGCAGCCATACAACCATGCCTGTACCTGTGAAGGACTGGTGTAGGTCGTATAGTGTAAATTGATACCGGATCATTACGCCTACTATCTAAACAATACACCTACAATTTTTTTTTTATTTTTTTTCCCGATTAAATTTCCCCTCCTTCGTCCTTATCACATCAAAATTTCTCTATTTTTACCTTTTTTTGATCTTCCCATCACCCCTCACTAAGAGCCATTACTTACTCTTACTCTTACTCTTACTCTTACCTTTACCCTTTCTAAACATAACCCCTCTTCCTTGTTCTTCCCTCCTTATCTCTCTAGTCTCATTCTTCTCCCCCCCCCCTCCTTTCTCTTGTCCCTTCTCTTCTTCCTCCTCCTCTTTCACCATGTCTCAATCAACTTCTACCCAGGTTCCTCATGCCACCACCGCCGCCCAAGTCGCCGGACAGTCCGCCTCCAATACCACCCGCGCCACCGAACTCGCCGATCTTAAAGTAAGCTTGCGCGGTGCTCTGCGTCAGTTCCCCAACTTCCCGCTGCCCGGCATTCTCTTCGAAGACATCCTCCCGATCTTTGCCAACCCCACCACCCACGAGGCCCTCGTGCGCTGCCTCGAGCTTCACATCCTCGAGAGCACCGGCAACCAGAAGCCCGATGTCATTGTTGGCCTGGAAGCCCGTGGCTTCTTGTTCGGCCCCAGCCTGGCTCTGAGAATGGGCGCTGGCTTCGTCCCCGTCCGCAAGCAGGGCAAGCTCCCCGGTCCCTGCGAGACCCAGGGCTATCAGAAGGAGTACGGCGAGGACTTCTTCCAGATGCAGTCTGACGCCATCAAGCCTGGCCAGAAGGTCGTCGTGGTGGATGATATTATTGCTACCGGTATGGATGTTCTCTCCTCACGGGTCTGATAATCCAGAGCGAACCCGCTAACATGAATCTCAGGTGGTTCGGCCTATGCCGCTGGAGAACTGATCAAGAAGATGGGCGGTGATCTCATGGCCTTCGTTTTCATTCTCGAGCTCGAGTTCCTCAAGGGCCGGGAGAAGCTGTCCGCCCCCGTCCACACTCTTCTCACTGGCCAGGAAGAGAAGGTCCTCTGATTCAAACATACAAACAACCAAATGCATTGTATTGCTCTCCCTGCTTGATTCGTTGGACAAAAAAATTCGCATAGTCAGAAAAAGAGTTCATTCCGCCGAAAATGATCCGCCTGGACGGATTGCGGAGATGTCGGCAAAGCTGGTATGATGCGTGTTCCGTCATGCAATCAGTTGATGGCCGATGTGACTTCGCTGCATCGTCTATCTCTTGGCCTGACTACCCTTTCCCCGACTGAGGATCTGACCACGTCGGGGAGACATTGAGACTTAGACGTTGCTCGCCCGTTGGGAAGGACCCGGAATCTTGGATTGGTGTCTATCGGCATTCTGAAATGAAATTCCTCAATAGTGATCATGTGTGGCTCTTGGGCATCGGACAAGGCTGCGCATCCTTTCTATACGCATAGACTATGAAACTCTTATATCGTTGATAATATATTGAGTGAATTAATATCCACTGTAAGGGTCAATAGACAGCCAACCCATGCCTTGGCAAATGGTCACCTTGTCTCCATCGGTCCTAACGAACCGTCTACTTATCCAAAGAGTCTGAATTCCCTGGCGTGATATGTCTTGTGAACCCCTCTCAGCCGCGAGGGATAGACGGCCTCATAACCTCCTCGGCCCACTTCTCCGGAAGCCCCAAAGCGACCGACTCGCGAATGGCGCGGTTCATCCGCGGGATATACTCGTCCTTGGGCGGGCCCAAGTTGACCCTCAACTCATCCACATACACCAACACGGGTACAGTGCTGCTGCTGCTGCTGCTCCCACCGTCCCGACTCTGACCCTCCAACCACTGCACTACTTCCGCCTCCACCACCCACTTATTGTAGTCTCCCTGCCCCTGCTCCCTTGGCCGGACACTCAGTGACGGTGACGGCGCCACTGCAGCGCCCTTCCTCCCATCCCCCGACCCACCCGCGGCCGGCGCATCCCAATCCACCCCCTCGAACCCATCCAACAGCCTCTCATCCCTCTCGTCCATCGCATACAGCACCCCGTAGACCGCCTCCTCCGCCCCGGCCACCGGCACCTCGTCGCCCCGCACCCCCGTCTGCGGGCCGACGCGCAGGTCCGGCGGCGGGAGGACGTTCGCATAGCCCTGCTCGCAGATGAGCCAGCGCCAGTGCGGCAGCCGCGCGATGGCGAGGGGCACCGAGGACGCGGGGCTGTGGACGCAGCGAGTGGCCATTTGGGAGGGGGAGAGGTTCGAGCCGTAGGCGAAGTAGAGCGGTCGTCGTCGTCGTCGTTGTTCCGATTGAGGAGGGCATTGCGGGGTACGGGTGGATGGGTCTCGGCTGGCTGTGGTCGTTGGGCTGGTCGGGTTGATGGTTATCGGGATGGAGGATGGGTCCGTAGTGTGACTCGGGTCGTGGAGATGCATGTTTTGAGTCGCCTGGTTTTCTGTTGGGGCAATATGGTGCGGTGTGATGTGAGGGATGTAAGAGGGTATCTTTAAGCTTATCCTGTATAATGGGCGAGAGGGTGGTGGTGAGAGATGGGATGCAAGGTATACTGCACAGTATGTAGAATTGAATATATAGATATATGGAAAGTGATGGTGCACTGTACACTGCACTGCTATGGGCTGTATGAATGACTGTAGGTATGGATGATTTTGTACGTGAAGAAGCCTGGGCTCTCTCGACGGAGGGACAGGGACAGCCGCCGGCGTAGACAATTAGACTCCGGGGAGGCGGGCCCCGGCGGAAAGGGAGTAGAGTTGTGGTTGGTTGCTTCGTGTTGCTTCGTGTCGGGCTCGGCCCGATTGCCGGAGGCGACCGCCGATTCAATTCGTCTTGGGAAAGACTCCTTGCAGTCGTACTCATGTACGGTAGGCATAAACACTGATACTGATGATATGATATATATGTTTTGATCTACTGATGTACTGTACGTCTTGTGCACATTCATCGCATTGCATGTACATCACATACACTCTGTACGTTTTTCTTGGTAGGTACTAGGTAGGTCTGTTAATACTAAGAACTCGTATGTATGATGCATGCAGGTATGTACAGTACATATGACAGCAGAAATTCTATCTCTTCCATGAGGTCATCTGAGATCGGTGACCTGTACGTCCTACACAATGTGTAAATTGTGAATCGGGACTCCCTGGGATCGCACCGAATAGCGTCGCTTGATGCCCACTCCGGTCGCCTGTCGAAGCAGTGTATACGTCTCCTCGCCGCCGCCCACCATAACCATACTGAGAAGATGGCGTCGCGGAAGGCCGCCCGCGGTCAACTGACTCTCATCGAGATGCGGGCGAACAAGATGTCGCTCGGCGTGTACAGCAGCCAGCCCAGGCGAGGCCGGCCCCGAGTCCGCCGTCTCCCACGATTGCTCCTCTTCATTAGTGTGAGAGACCACTATCACAAGTTTCAGGGACTGACGTGACGGCGGATACGCAGGGATATTGCGTAGTTTCTCGGAGAAGCTACACCCGCCGCGCCGAAGCACCAGAATTTGGTGGTTCTGGACAATCTCCCGCGATAGACGGTGATCGCAGAGCTCGTCCGCGAAGTAAATGCTGGACCAGGTGAGGCGCCGTTTTGACAGGTCACCCGTCATCGATACTGTCAAAGCATCGTCCACATCCGGCAATGGGGCCGACCCGAGGCCAGTCGAGACGGCTGCTGGGATCATCAAACGCAATATTGACGATTTCTGCGGCGGCAGACCCGTCTCAACATGCGCTTCGTCCCGGAGTAGGGTGGACAATGAATTCATTAAGGAGGATAGTACAGTTTTCATGCCAGAGATCGATGGGTCGACACCGCCACTGTTGTCATTCACCAAAGCCGAGTCGTGGATGATCGGGCCTCGAGCCTGTTGCGGTGCAGCGGGTTCAAGGCCATCATCTGAGTCATTTCGCCGACGGAGAAGCTCTGGCAAAACATCGATGACGATGTCAATCTTGGTGGAGTCGCGTACACGCGTGAAGTTCGGGTCAGTGGGGTCAAGCACATCAAAGGTGATTTCCCGCGAAAGATATACCTTCTCATCCTTACCCAGTGGCATATTGTTGATTACCTGCACCCGGAACTCGTCATTGTCCGAGCTCTTCGCCGTGCCAGAAACCGAGACATCTCGAACCATGCTCAGCCGTAGACCTCCGATGGCTTTCACGAGAATCCCATCCCGGACCCGTTCCAGTGAGCCGGGGCCTACAACCATTCCGGGAAGTGCAGGGAAAGAGATATCGAGAGTTGGGCGAGAGATCAAGGGTGCACTGGTTCCGTTGAAGGGTATCAACTCCGGTGGCAACGTCCAAGGGTAGAACGTATAGTTTGTGGGTGATGAGAGGTCCGATACCGATATACTCGGATGGTCCTGAGCATATTCAACGAGAGGTCCCTCAGGAACGTCTCTGCTGGGCATGAGATGTAGGCGAGCCAAGTTCGCGGCATGGAAAACATCAGGACGTGCTGCCGTGGACGAACCCACCAACGTAGGGGGAAGAGGTGCCATTTGGCAAACAGGTTCCTTGCTTTTCACACCCACCGGTGTCTGTCGGCGTGTATGGAGTGCCGTGCTGCGCTTGGGTATCAGGAGTGGATGGCCCTCTGTAGAAAACACAAACGGTTGGTCCAGCTTGTTTAACGGGTGCTCGAAATCGAAAAGGAGAAACATGTATTTTGCGGTTTCTCCTAGGAAAAAGCTCTCCATTCGATCATTCAGCTCGCCATTGCGGACATCCTGGATACCAGCCCAGCCGCACTTGGTCCAGCATCGGCGCTTGAGATCACTCAGGACCATCTCACCTACATGCAGATACCATGGATCTTTAGTGGCCCGGTACAAGTAGTAGGTAGATTCCACGAATTCCGGGCGGCCACCGTACCATGCCAGACCCTGCTCTATGTTTCCCGTGGCGACATTCCATCTTTCAGGCAGGCCAGAGAAACGGTTCCAGATGGCAGTGGTGAGAAGATGGATTCCAACTGCCTCATCTACTTCACCGGCCAGCACCAACAGGCCTGGGTAAAAGGCGCTGAGACTGTCTATCCAGAAAGCACGGGTCGCTCCTGTAAAGATGTCGCCCTGGATGAGATGGGGGTGTTGGTGTCCATCTCCCCGATATAAGTGCCTCTTGATGGACGCATGAGACTCCTGCCATACTTCCAAGAAAGCCTGCGCAGAATGTTCGTGCTCACCCAAGGGCAGGAAGTAGTCATCCAAATGATGCCATGGACTGCTTGTGTTGTGGGGGGGTCGCTCTCCCGAGGAGAGCAAAACGTACGACTTGAAAGCGTATTCAAAAAAGCTATCAATCCCCGCACCAATCTATCATGAATGAGGTAAGCAAAGCCCGGTTTATCGCCTAGCCATCGGAAAGTGCTCACCCCAGTGTACGAGTGTACCCATCGGCCCGACTCAGCGTCAATACCAGATCCAATCAAGCCAATCTCACTCCTACGCGCCCAAACGGCCCAAAAAGCCCTCTTCGCAAGCTCCTCGTAGCGACCATCGCCTGTGAGCCGGCTTAGAACGGTAAATTCCAGGACAAGACTGCCGGCGCCAGCGCTGCATGTCTCCGTAGTTTCTGGGAATGAAGCCCAGCGGCTTTTCTGGCAGCGTTCGGAGTTTGACCCATTGCACGGGTGATCCGCATTGAGCGGCGAATTCGCATAGAAGGGTTGCCGTTGAACTCCGTGTCGCAGGTTGACCCGCGGGTAAGGAAGACCGGTGTCTGTATAGAACGCAGGCAGTAGACGGTTCCCCAGATCGACCGCGAGCCGCAAGAGTTGACCGTCGTATACAAACCCGGTATTCCACATGATACCGTGCCCGTCGCCCTGAAAAGAGGACTTATCCCAGGCTTTTGCGAAGGCGGCGTCCCTATCTGAAGGATTGTACCCAACGATGGGAAGGTCACCCACAGCAAACAGATGAGCACTGAGAAGTCCGCCTACCGTTGTCAATCTTAGTCAGGGAGTTGTCTCTTCATCGGTTCTCGTATGGCCGTTATTGGCACTTACCTAGCCCTCGGATGACTGTCTCAAACACCTGAACTTTGCTATTTATGTCAAATCCCCGGCTCCGTTCGCCCTGACCTGCAGGGCTATCTGAACCATCTCCATAAAGCGTGACGAAATCCTCCACTCCCTTTTGAAAGTAGCCAAGAGCCTTTTGGCCATCCTCTGGACTCGACGCAAGGATAGCCAAGGATGACAGACTGTCGATTAGAGTCAGGGAATAGTTCCCAAGAACATCATTGAGCTCCGCGTGCGCGGGATTATCTCGGTCGCGGACCAACGGGCGGCAAGTCAAGGGGCGAAGCTCATCTTCAGGAAACGCATGTTGAATGTAATTATCGAAGCCGTGATAGAACATATTCTCGGTCTCCTTCCTGGTCATGGACAACGCGAAGTGCGGTTAGCAAAATTAACTGAGAACATGATCATCGCTTTGCAAGACCTCACCTGAGCTCTCTAACTCGATCGATCCTCATTCCCTGGGCCATAGCGAGCCATGACGACAATAGCAAGACCCAGGTTATCACCCATTCTGAACGGAGGTTGGACATTTGAAAGCGCCAACATCCCTAACGCATTACCGCAATGGCGAGTCGGATATCACTAGCATGTGAGCGCGGAAATGGCTTGTGGCCACGAAAGGATATACGAAACGGTGTCCTTCTGGCCCAACGAGCTTTGTCTCTAACAGAGAGAATAACTCTTTTTTGGAGGGAGCGGAAGAAAGGAGGGAGAGGGTAATGCTGCGGTGGTGGGCAGCAGCCTCGCCGCGGGAGCAGCACGTGAGATCGCATCAACCTCCGCGGGATTTGGCGCAACCACGCATCCGAGCGAGCGGCCAGATATGCCTTTACAATTGATTATACCCGTTTCTTACCCCTGTCTTTGCTACTATCGGAGACAGACCGATAGCAACGTTACAGTGATGACTTTCTGAGCTTAATTCTGATTCTTAAAAAACCCCAGTGTCAAGGACCTAATTCAATATATGATGGCCCTTATTCAATGCTGCTGCTGTCATGCCACTAAAACTCCCGCTTGAACCCAGACAACCAAAAGATCGATAAGACAAGATAAAACTGACAGATATGCGAAGTGATGCATATGTTGGGGGTATATGTCGGATAACCGAAAAGAATATGGCCACGGAGGCTTGAAAGGCAGGATTTCTATCCAAGACAGCCGCACCGAGCGGGCGTAGAGCAGAACAAGAGGGAGTAAAGAACATCAATGCCAGCGGGCCGATTCCTCTGGAGCATGCCATTGCGCGAAGGATCGTGGCTGTGCTTCAACAACGTAGTCGATCCCATTATCGGAGATATAACTAGGCGGCCGGGGTATTTGAGACTTGTTGGGGCCGCATTCGTCGACCTTGGGTAACGGGGAATTTTTATTCACACGTTGCCAATACAACAAGTCAGGGTTCAAGCGCTATGAGAAGATCAGCTGGCGCAAACTAGTGGGACCATACTCTTCTGAAAACTTACCACGCTGCCTCTCCAAAGACCATACGCTGGAGGAGGTGCAGTTATCTTTTCCCGAGCAGCGTCACGGCTTTCAGTCATAGAATCCTCATCCGCCGCCAGAACGACGTGGATGGGATGTGACGGTTGTGCATAGCCAGAGGGTCCTGCCCTGCTTGGTATGCGATTGGTGGCGATCTCAGAATCAGGTCTTGGTACTATTGCCATGAGAAAACGAGTTAATGCATGGCAGAAAACGATGCCGATTATCAGTATCATAAAGATCAAAAGAATTTGAAGCTCCCGGCCTAGAGTAGTGCGCGAAGCAGCGAATGCAAGGTATACAGCGACGACTGCAAGGAGGAACACTCCAGAAGCAGTCAATGTGATAAGCCGCCTGCGAACCTTCCTCTCTGCAAAGATCGAGGTACATGAGCGCCTGCCACAGTTGGGGCTGCCAGTGTTGCTTGCCAACGCTAGATCTTGTGATTCTCTGCACAAGCCCATTTCAGCTTGCGACTCACGGCCATCCCGCTCTGTAGTTAACTGCATTTCGATAGGAACGTGTGTCCGTTGTGGCGCATATACTGATGCAGAGACACTTCCGGAATTGTTGAATGACGATACAGGACCTTCGCGTAGGCGAGGTCCCTGGTCTGGAATGCGATCATCACCAAGGAGTTGCTCATCATTTCGGCGACGGTCATTTGCCCTTAATGCGATGCGTTGGCCAAGAGGCGAAGTGATGTGGGCTTGCTGATCCGATCTGCGAGTGTTGTCAGACCATGCTGAGTTGGGCAGCATGCCGGGATTTAAGTTGGAATGTGTCGATTCTGGATGAGACAGCCGAACCGATTCCATATTGAGAACCTTTAACGGTCAATGACTGACATCTGGTCTGGTCCCAGCGAGAAAGAGATGAAGAATCAGAGAAGACGTCGAGATAGAATTGGATTTAATACCCCAAGGAGAGAGGACTCAGGCGACAGACCCTTGAGTCGCAATGCGGTTTGTTTGTGGATGGAAGTATGTATGAATCCGAGGCCACTTCCGCATCCGTTCAGCAGCACACAAACAAGCTTTGAAGAGCGTACACCGTGACGGAAACTTCCTGCGAAGATCGACTTAACTGGAGCAAAACCGGAAATCCCAGGCAGATTCGGTGTTCAGCGACGATAATAGGTAAGTAGGTTGAATTCGGCGTTATAAGTTCATGATGATTCAGCCCAAGTTGACTGAGGGGCACAGGGAAGCAGCATACGGGATTCCCGACCGCGAAACGAGAGGTGTCCAACAACCAGAGGATCGGTATTCAATGCGCGAAGTAACACAGGCAAAGATAATTGAAGCAAGTCAATAGCAGCAGCAGACTAAGCTTCCTGTCCAGATTGTGTGAAGGTTAGATCAGTGGCTATACTCGGTAATGGAAAACCGGACTTGAGAGCGAAGAAAATGGATATTATAGTAGCTGCAGCTAATCGGTAAAAAGGCAGTGAGCAAGTGAGTGCGATAATCCTGAGACGAAGGTAATGAACAAGGATATGTGATATGTGCACAGGGAATGACGAAATAATAGATGTTGGCTGAAGAGATAAAGGAGATGGTCTGATCGATAAGAAGTCAGTTTGGGTAAGTCAGCGAGGGGCAGGATATGTAAATCGGGAGAGAGGGAGAGATGATCGTCTCATACTAGATATGAAATAAAGGATTGGGTTCAAGAGAAGGAAGAAGGAGGAATGGCAGAACGTAGGAGAGAGAAACCGAAAGACCGAGAGACAGAAAGAAAGAGACTTGATGGGGAGAGACAGAGAGAGAATGCGCGGCGTATGTTGAGCAGGGGGAAGGAACAGCAAGCCGCGGCCTGCCCAGTGGTGGTCTCCAGTTGTTTCCATAAGTAGCAACTAGACGACTAACCGTCCCTACTAACACTAATACTAATTTTGGAGCCACTCAGTGTACCTAGTCTAATGGAGTAGCTCAATTCGCCGGTCGCGTTGGCAATGTTAGTAACAATCGTCAATTGACTAACAAATAACCTACAGCTTTATTTCAGTATCAGTGCCGATTATCTATAATTAGTATTAGTTTTCGACTCACAAACCGCTGCTCAATTGATCCCTTGGTTTTGTTGCTTTTCAAGTTATATTCATACTTTTTTCTAGGCAATCTACCATGAAGCATTTACCCCTGGATGACCCACGTTTGCCGCTCGGGTCTACGGCCACACTTCAGAACCAACACATGGTAAACACAGTGTATACATAGTGCACTAGTACTCTCACTCTTCAATGATGTCATGGTTGATGTTGGGTACCATATAATGAATTGTTTGGCTGCACAGCCCGCATGAGATATAGGTAATGTACAGTACACCAAATGGAGGAGCTATACAACTACAGAATCGGACAAAAATGCTTTGTGGTGTGGTGTCCCGCTGATGGTTACGTACACTGAGGCAACTCAGTGGGAGATCTAATTGTAGCCTTTTCCTGTCATGCGCGCTTCAATTCTCGTCCTTGATTATTCGAGTAACTCTCCTTGCCTAGAATGGCCCAGGCCTCGCTTGGTCGTGCTGCTGTGATCATCATGACCCAGAGCTAGACGAACCTCCGGAGGGTTTAGCTTGATATGATGAGCGTGGTATATTCCAGTCGCTTCTTATGCGGTACCGTGGCGTTGATTACATGGCTAGATGTCTGATATAGCCCCAAAGACAAGTTCATTTGCCAAGTTCGCCGAGCAGAAGAGTCCGATCAGATGACCCGGACACAACTATTGAGAATGAGTCAGAACAGAACAATTAAGCAAAGGACAGAAAAGGACTCCACAGCCAATGACTTACTGATGGGCTCGTTGTTCGGTGAGAACCGAACATCATTAACAGTTCCCTTATGTCCTGGTAATTTGTATAGGAGTTTTCCGCTCTTCGAGTTCCACACGACAACACTTCGGTCACCGCTTCCCGTGGCGATCTTCTCACCCGTCGGGTCCCAACTGGCCCGAATCAAATTCTCTTCCAGACCAACTGGGGCGCCATCAAAAGTTCGAATGTGTCGATTGGTTGGTGCAAAAGGCCGAACGTCCCATGTCCGTACAGTAGAGTCGAAGGAGTTGGAGAGAAGCGTTTGCGAGTCTGGTGATAGTTCGAGCGAGGTGATGGTGTGCGTGTGTCCTGTTAAGGAATATACAATACTTTTCTTTCGAAGATCCCACGCATGAATGGCGTTGTCGATACCACCGCTGAATATCTCATTTCCAGCCTCGGAGAGGGCCACCGCAGTGATAGGAAGTTCGGTTTCCAGACAATCGATAGCGTCTTTCTGCCGAGGATCCCAGATGCCTATGCTGCCATCATTGCTAGCGCTGACCAGTAACTCCTGGCCTCTTTTGCTGATATCAAGACAATTGATATAATCTTCATGACCCACGTGTCGTCGAATCCTTTGCCCTGTTTCTAGATCCCAGCTGGCAAGCGTCATGTCTGTCGATGCGGAGAATATCGTCTTGGAGTCTCGGGACCATTGAAGATCACGAATAGCGCCCCGATGACCGGACAGCACGCCATAATTCTCACATTCTCCATAAGTTTTCCAAAGTACTGTTTGTCGCCGACGTTAGCGTCTGGTTTTTAAAGTTAAAAATAGCGGAGTAGGTTACACACAGATTGATCTATCCATCGATCCTGAAGCAATGTGCTGACCCGTTGAATCGAATCGTACAGAGAAAACCTCGCCAGAATGACCTGTCATATATGTTAACCGACAAGAAATCGTCTACCCTCCGCGCAAGCCTACCTGTTAATTCCATGATTGGGGCCTGGAGCCCGCTGGTGCGGGGAACCTGTTGTCGGGATCAGGACAGACACTCCAAGTAAATTTTTTCAAGCTATTCAGTGACCTACTGCTTGCACAAGAGCCCCATTTTGCGAAGAGCCCTTGACCACAGCTGCACTGTTATCGATACTAGCATCGGACTTCTTTCGCTTGACGACTAGCTGGTTGGAAGACCCGAAGGCCTCTTGAGCAGGTCGCTTCTCGCCGGACATCATTTTTTCATGAGCTGGTTCGCCAACAGAAAAGAAACACGTGATAGTCGACAGGCGCGGGAAGACACCGAGAAATGTTGAGATAGGGATTCAGAAATGTGCTGGGCTAGAATTGTAAGGTTATGGGGGGTAAGAGAGCGCTGAGTGAGTACCTGGTCTTTCTCCCGAGCATCGCAATGCTGAGAGACATTAGCCGCGATAGACGCCCGCGGATGGTCCACTAGGCGGTGAAGCTCCGCCTCGGTCCCCAGATCAAGTGGGGAGAGGAGCTCATTGTCAACACTCGGCCGGCTACTCCAAGCAGCTGAGATCGGATATCCTATTCTCTTGAGTTTTTGCCCTCAATCCTTGGCTTTCAGAGACAGGCCTCAGCGCCCATCATGTCATCAACTACCAAAGCATCCAGGATTGGCGAAGAGTGAGCAAGGCCCCAGTTCTATCTAATGATCTGCACATCCGCTAACATGACGACTATTGTGCTAGACTATGGAAGTAAGTGAGCGGCGCAAGAATCTTGATGTCCTGGGGCAGGTTCTCCAGTGAAGGGACACAGGGACTCACCACCTCGTTTCGCTAGAACAAGAGTCGACAAAGTCAATGCGGAGCTGGTCACGTTGACATATGGAACGATTGTCGCACAACTGTGTCAGGACTATGACGGAAATTATCAGGAGGTCAACAAGCAGTTGGAAAAGATGGGCTACAACATCGGAATGCGCCTCATTGAGGATTTTCTGGCAAAATCGAATGTAGGCCGGTGTGCCAATTTCCGGGAGACGGCAGACATGATCTCTAAGGTAAAGCTTGTTACTTTAAATCTCGCTCAGACAACTTGGGATCAATGAGCTGACTTCTTGGATGTGTGACAGGTCGGATTTCGGATATTCCTCAATATCGCCCCCACTGTAACGAATTGGACAAGTGACAACAATCAATTCTCGTTGGTATTTGATGAAAACCCGCTTGCAGACTTTGTTGAACTACCAGACGACGGGCGAGCGCAAGATGAGCTCTGGTTCTCAAATATACTGTGCGGTGTTCTACGGGGGGCTTTAGAGATGGTAATGAACTTCTGATCCAGCCAAAAACTCTCACGCGGCTACTAATTCCGTCAACAGGTACAAATGCAGATCGAGGCGCATTTTGTAAGCGATGTACTGCGAGGAGATGACGCCACAGAGATGCGCGTTTCACTTGTGAGGTACATTGAAGATGAGATGCCACCTGAGGAGGAATAAACGCGGCGGGGAGTGTGTTGCATAAATTTAGTATTATTGGTTGAGGCGTCCGGTGTTTGCGGGTTTTACTTCCAGTATCTTAATTTGCAGCTGCAACGGTTGACTGAAATCACCTGTTTCTTATGATTGATGGAGCTACAAGTAAGGTAAACGTTCCATGTGCGATGCATGTACATTTATATACTTATAGAGTGGGGCCGTGAGGGCTGCACAAGGGACAAGGGACAAGGGACAAGATGTGAAATGATCAAACCCTGACGGCAGTTATCGAACTCGAAGGAGTGACTTTGTAATCAAAAATGAACGTGCAATAGACAATTGCATGGAAAGAATAGGCCAAGATCAGATCGTAGATCGGGTTGATTTGGGTCGGTGAAGATCACTCTGCCTTAATTGTACGGAGTACTTTACTTATAGTTAATCTGACACTTCGGACATTTGCATAGATTGAAGCGGCATGAATTCATCTGACACATTCCTTCATAATGATCATCATCATCACCACCGCCACTATGAAACAGCTGCGAGGGAATCAAGTATCTAAAGGTGATAATGATAAAAAAAATCTTCAAACACCATGAGCTCTATGCCTTGTATGTATAGTACATATTTAAATTCGATGGGACGATGACATGGGGAGATGTGGCCGGGAGCCACGTGATGCACTAAGCCCCAATAGGCAGCGGACAACTTCCCTTGACTGTGCTAAGAATTACGCAGGGTCCCAGTCCTGGAGGACTACGACTTTATCGATAGATAGAGCAACTTAAAATGTGGAAGCTTAGAGCCTTTGACATTTAAAGTGCTTGCAAAGTTTCATACTTGTTAGCATTCACTACAAGTAATGGTTTAACTGGATCTGCTGAATTGTTAGTTCAATTGATAGGTATGTACTCCGTACTGTCCTGGTACTGTTGCACCCAACAGCAGTCTCAATCTTGCCCCCCGACTATATTCGCCATCGATAGGTGATTTGTGTTGCGCGGGATAGATCAATTCCCTTCCCATCGTCATTCTGGTCACTACCGATCCATCCTTTTTAGACTCAGCGTCTGTCTGATCTGGTGATCTTCGTTGACTCCAAACGGAGAGTGGTGATCATACAGCATGCTTGAAATTTTATTCCTATTTTTTTTTTCCCTTTTTTTTATAATATTTATTCTACTTTCTTGCTGCTCAATCTGTGTTCTGTGTGTACTTGACTTGCAGAAGCTAACCAGCTCTCATCATCTGTCTAGATACATCACTTTGACCCGATCGGTCTTCTGTTTTCTTGCCTCTGGGCAAAAGACTTGGCTCTCCACCTTCCGTCCCTTTCCCTTCATCCTTCCCCTACTCAATCACCTCACTACTCACTACTCAACTCACCAACTACGAGTAAATACTCTCCTCTCTTTTGTCTTTCTTTTTCTTTTTCTGCTTCTTTACTGGTGCTGGTAAGTCTATTTTGTCATAATTAAACAGTTTGCCTCTTTGTTCCTGTTGTCATCATTATTATCACTTTCATCATCAGCATCATCAGCATCATCAATATTTTTTTTCCCTTTGCTTCTATTCTTTCCTGGGGTGGTTGTGTTGCCGCCATATGTGGAAGTGCATGCTGAAATATACGCCCAGCCAACAGCATCTCCCAGCCCTCCTGCGGCGTTCCGGTCAAATTCTTCCGTTCCGAACAAGCGATTCACGCCCAGCCGGCAGTGATTGAACAGCCCAGCAACTCCAGGCACCGCGCCTGATATCCACGTCCTCCCACCCACCAGAGAACACCTCAGATCCACCGCTACACCTTGTCCTAACCTTCGCCTCTCCTCCCTCCTCCTCCTCCCCCCCCCCTCCCTCCACCTTTTCCTCGAATCTGCCGGATCTCTCCGTCTCTTTCCACTTTCTCCCTCCCACACACCCACCCACCCCCATTCCCTTTTTCTGCAGGGGCTCTGGTGATTTACTCTTAGCCCCTCTTGAAGTCCTCCTTCTCCTCCGCCTCTTCTGGCTTTCCAGGTGGTGGTACTTGTCCTTGCCTTTTGAGACGCCTCCTCGGCCGTCTTCTCGCTCCTATACGTTGTCCCGTCCTTTGCCTACTCGTGTCGCCTGTCGCCGCCCCCATCTCTCATCTTAGCTGATTCTACCGCGCATTCTCGAGCGGCTGGGTCTTTGTACGAACATAATACTCTTGTCTCTGTGTTGCCTTTCCATCTCTCCCGACACTGCTCCCTTTGACTATCCATCTTTTTTTGTGTCGGGTCAGCAACAGATTCTTTCGTACATACTTGTTCCATTCGCTCCCGAGTGAGACACGCTGGTCTTGATCCGGAAATCATCGCGACTGCGTTGTCCTTCCGCGCCACATCGAGTCAGATAGGCGATTTCGCGTCTGGTTATAATATTTTCAACTATCTTGATATCGGGCCGAAAGCAGCTGTGATCTAACCTCTCCCCCATCGCCTGGGTATCCGCGCGTCTCATCTTTCTGCTTGTGGTGAACCATTTTGCCGTGAGACGGTGGATGCGCGTTGGAAACATTCGGATACCAACAATCGTCCGGTGAGGGTGGCTTACCCCTTCGTGTGCCACCATGAACCAAATGAACGTGGCTGGGATGAACCCCGGTGCGGGCGGTCCTGTGGGAGGTGTTCCAATGATCAACAACGGTTCTGCGGCCCCTCGCAACGATGGAACCATCCACACTATCCCTGAGAGCACGGTCGGCAACCTCAACACTTTTATTTACGACTACTTCCTGAAACGCGGTTACTATGAGTGTGCCAGAGCTCTCGTGAAGGATGAATCTGTAAAACTCAATACCGAACCCCCTATCAAGACGAGCCCCGGCCATCGTCGCGATGGTGATGTGAATGGGGTCGATGGAGATGCAATGATGACCGATGGAAAGGATGGGGATAAGAAAATACCCGATGATCTTCCTCGCCCTCATATCTCGAGCGAAGGTCAACAGTCGTCTTTCCTTCTCGAATGGTTCAGCCTCTTCTGGGAGTTTTTTTGGGCCCAGCGCAAGAAGGGAAACAGTGCTGATGTGCGACAATACCTCAATCATACCCAGGTATGTATCATTCGCAAGACCGCAATATACCTTGGAGTCTAACTGGGGCTTTGTAGAACATTATGCGCCTCAGAGAGCAACACCAAAATCAACTTTTACGGCAGCAGCCGCTGATGCCTGGCCAGATGGGACAAATGAACATTCGACGCAACGGCATGGTTCCCCAACCTCTTCAAAAGACCGCTCTGCAGAACAATACTCCAGGCCTGTATGCTCATTCTTCTGCATATCCTGCAGGTTGCAGGTGATATACTGATTTGTTACATAGAACCCAACAACAATTGCAACAGCTTCAAAAAAACCAGCATCAACAACTTCAAATGATGCAAATGACTCGAGAGCACTCCGACATGGATATGAACGGCCACCGACCACAATCCCCCTCGTCCGCAGAAAACGCCCCATCTCCCTCGAAGCGGCCCCGCCTTGAAGGTGGCCTCATGAATGGCCAGCAATTAGCTCCTAACGGACGCGCTCAAGTCCAGGGCATGCCAGGCCAGCCGAACCCTCAGACCGCTCTCTTGATGCAGAATGGACTCAACCGGGCGATGAACCCCAATCAATTCCAGGCTTTCCCGCAGTCAGGACCTGCTGCGCAGCAGAAATCTATCCAGGTATATGCTCAGAACTTGGCCATTCATCACTCACGCTCAGCAATGAATAACCAGGGTATGCCGAATGGTATGATGAACCCCGGTGTCATGCAAAACCAGACGGATATGGTGTCCATGCCAGATGGCCAGGTGTATCCCATCAACGGCGACTACTATGGCGCGAATGGTCAAATGGCCCAGGTCCGGAACGGGATGCAGACACCTGGCGGTCAGCCCGGAAACCACGCTCTTCAAGATTATCAGATGCAACTTATGCTGCTTGAACAGCAGAATAAGCGGCGTCTGATGATGGCTCGCCAAGAGCAGGATAGCATGGCCCGTCCTGACGGCCAGCCCCCGCTGCCTGGGCAGCCGGGCCTGCAACCAGGCACTTCTCCCCAAGGCAGCAGGGCGGGCACGTCGCCAAATCCCAACGATCAAATGAAACGGGGCACGCCGAAAATGCCCCAGACCGGTCTCCCCGGCTCCCCGAGTGCCGGCGACGCGATGGCCCAGGGTCGTGGTTCTCCCGCTTCCATGAACTTCGGTAATCAGATTCCTCCTGAAATGGCCGGCCAGTTCTTTGTGAAGGGTATACCAGATGGTATGGCCGGCCCCAACGGTATGCGACCCCCCAGCTCCAACCCAGCGTTTAGCGCCCCTCAGATGGGTCAACCCATCCCCGCTGGCGCCGGAAACCGGGTACCCAGTGGAAATTGGCAACCCCAGCAGGGTGCCCAGCAACCCATGGCTCCGCAACAATCGCCTGCAACCCAACCTCAGTCGACCGGAACTCCACAGGAGAGGAACGCGATGCCACCTCCCCAGGCCCCTCCTGCAGCCGCCAACACTGGCCGCACTCAGCCACCCTCCCCCCAGACGGCCGCAGCCGCCCCACCGACGCCACAGCAGGCGAACAAGCCTGCCCCTAAAAAGAAGGAGACTAAGGACACTCGGAAGGTATGTATCCATGGGTTATATTCTTGTGCATTCGTGGCTTCGTCCATGTTACTAATTGAGATCGCAGCGGCCTTCGAAGAAAGCAACAACTGCTGCCGCAGCGGCTGCTGCCTCGGCAAACGCGGCTGCCACACCATCCTCCGAAGCCGAACACCCGCCCACCCCAACTCCATCCACCCCAATCACCCCTCAGCATCCAGCCTCGTTCAACAAGGCGGGTGCCAATGTTACGACTAGTGCTCCTCAGCAGCCTACGTCTGCCCCCGCACCTCAGCCGCTCGTACAGCCCCCTCCCGATCAGAGTCAGCAATTCGGCGAGCTTGGTGTTCCTGATGTATGTCATCCAAATCCTGGGATCCCCACATGGATTGCTGTAAACGAGAAACTCTATGCTGACTGCCATAGCCACAAATGTTCAACCTCGATTTCAGCGCTCTAGAGAACCCAGACATTCTCGAGAACTTTGACTTCGACACATTCCTCAACACCGATGCCGATACGGCTGGATTTGGATTTGATCCCAATATATCGTATCCTACCGACGGTGTTGAGACCGGTGCCGGGGATGGCCTATGAATGTGATCCGACGGTTGTTCAGTTCTTAACTCATATACCCTTGCTTTGTACATTTCCATAAACTTCGACATGTGCTGTGCTTCTGCTCTATTTTCTTCCTTGCTGCCGTCACTAACCGTCTCTCACTGTTGACATGATTTGGATACGTGCTTTACTGACAAGGCGTTGGCGTATCCGCTCTGCATATTCCTTCCTTTGCTCTGCCGACGAGAAGTGCTTGATAACTGGCTCCGGAGGAGATAGCTTGTATACAAGCCGCTCTCTCTATGCTTCACGCGTTTTTGTGTGGCTTTTGTTCTGATATTCCTTCTATCTCTTCTACTACTATTATCTGATTAATTTTGTCCCTTTCATCAATTCTCCCCCCTTGAGGCCACCTTCGGGTGTGATGTTTCTCTAGCGTTAGCCATGCAGACCCCTTATCCACTCCTACCTTAATACTCGGGATCCCCATCACAATATGTACGTCCTTGGCTGGCCTTTTTCTTCTCTCCCTTCTCCAAGTCTATTCTTTTCAATTCTTCTCTACAAACAGGTTCTACTTGTTTCGATCATGTTATCTTCCCTTTATCTTTTTTTCCCTTTGTCTTACTTGCTATATTTCTTGTTTTTGACTTTGGCGTTACCAATGACGTTCTTGTCGCTACTTTGACTCTTCTTACGGGAATGGCTTTATGAATCGAGGAAGAGGATTGACGTCTTCTCTTAGCCTCTTTCTTTCTGCTTCACTCCATTCTTAAATCGTACTCAATTCCAGCCGAGATCTGCGTTGCAACACATTGTTTGCTCCTCTGCCTATATGCGATTCTCTATTCATGTCGTGCTGGAATACCTGCTCGCCCGCCTTTTTTCACAAGAGATCTGGTGCGCTTCAGCCGGCCTACTGCAAACCAGGCCCATCCAGTGAACTTTCTTGTCTCGTCAGGGCATGGTAAAAGTGATCATAGCAATTCCACTGTTACAATAGGTCATCGCCGCTGTTTCATGACTCGCAGATTCAGTAAAATAGTCAAGTCTCCATCAGCGCAGCTGGGGCCATCCACATGGAGAACACTTGTACTGCATTCGGACCCAGACACATCTAGTCCTTTCCTCCCACTCCTGGAAACAAACCCGCCATCGTACAACCCGCGATGATACCAGAACTGAAATATCCCCCGGAAACAAACAGATGATGCACAGGAACCAATGTCTCCCTGTCAGCACTTCTTGAATCTGGCATTGATTCATAGTTGGGTAACCGACAGCTGGTTTCAGCAACAACAACGCACTGCTACTGGTGATCATGCATCAGAAAACCTTCATTCTTGGCTTTCCACTGTTCAACACTCTGACGCTGTTTCGCGATGTTGATCTCAAGCTCTTCATCCTCTGCGACTATCTGTATTAGGTACTTGACCACCTCTTCGGCACAGGCTTGTTCGGCCAGTGACCTGTTGTCCTGCAGACCGGTCACGGGGCCGACGGCGCCGGCGCGCCGCAGGAATGGGTCGCTCTTGAAGTAAGCGCCTGCAGTATATTCTCCGAGCGTGTCGACCAAGCGCCCGTCCTGTCTATCAACTCGGATCTCAGGGTATTCCAAACAGAGGAGATCGCAGACCTCTGTACGTAGAAGTATATTGTTAGCAGCTTGGCCAACAAATACAAGAGCAAGAACGTTGGACTTACTTTGCAATCTTTCAGTAGACGAACCCAGACCACGTATCTGCAACTGGACTTGACGGGGCGTTACTGCCCACCTCTTTTCGTCTTTCTTGACAGGTACCTCAATTGAGGCCAACCTGGAGTGTTGAAGTGGCAACATATTCGAGTTTCGAGGGACGCTTTTGGGGCGCTTGCTGTTGCCATCAACCTCGTTGGGGAACCCAGCTGAGAGCTCATGTTCAGCTTGTCGTTTTCTCTGATGAGACTGCTCGGTGCGTCCACGCGGCTTCTTGCGAGGGGCTTTCGCATAGTTGGAACTTTCCCAGATGTAGGTCCGCGTCTGGAGAGGGTCCCTCGGAACCAAGGCGAGCAGCCTAGCATCCAACCCCTCTAGAATAAGCGTGCCCGAGAGATTGCTACTTGTTTCAGAGCCATTAATATATATTTGCTGCAGAGCCAACAAGGCGCATGATCTTTGTGAGTGTTCATCTTCAGCATAGGTCCCAGTTTTGCCAGTGTAGGTCGTACGATGGACCTGAACCTTATGATAAAACTCGTTCTCGTGCATGACTTTAGTGTAGCGAGGCAATTCAAAGCCGTTGTGAGCACAGAATTCTGCCATGAGGCTAGTCAGATGGGCCTAAAACACGTGGTGACAGAGTGTCTTGCCTTGGAGGAGATCAACCCAATCCCAATCGACCGACGATTCAATGTTGTCAAGATCATCAGGCAAATTCCAATCCGGAAATTCAGGTTGCAGCTTCTTCAATGCAGCACGGCAGATATCGGACTTGGCTTCTTTCTGAGTATCATAGATGGCTGACTTTATGATAGTGCACCCATACATGGTGAGCTTGACACCCCAGCGACGACTTTTCGAGATATTGAACTGGAAACGCGGAAGGAGCAGTGCCTGAGTCGTGAGAACACCAAAGCAAAAGAGAATCACATCATCTTCCAGGAGATCCAATTCTACATCTGACAAACGTGAGATCTTCGCGGGTGAATCCTTCATGTTCCACGCTTCAACGACAACAACCGCTGGCTTGCGCTCTTGGGGCTCTTCTTCGCTCCAGATACTGTGGCCTGGTTCGTGTTTTAGATTCAAAGGGGCAAAGGAAGGCAAAATGTGGGGTTGTATGAGACGTGGCGTTGGTAATACATGAGGTGTAGGTGGTGGAAGCGGGCTCTGGCTCTCTGCTGGAGTAGACGCCGGATCAATGAGTTTCCAATATGGCGATGAATCATAAGCCCAATGTGCAAACCCGGGAGGCGAGCTGTACTGGTACTGTGAGATTACATCTGTGAAGGATGTACTCGAAGTGGAGGATGCTGCTAAAACCTGGTGTGGGAGAAGGTGGTGGTGGTGGTGCTTGTCCATGGTCAGTTAAAATTGGAGAGTTTATGAAAGGGCTGATGACAAGTAACTGAAGGAAATGGAGTTCAGTTTGCAAGGAAGAGAATGGTAAGGCGAAGACAGAAACAAGTAAGATGGGAACGTGGGTAGAGAGAATCGAGACGGCAGAGGGAGAAGAGAGGCAAGAGGAAGAATAGAAGGAAGAAGAAATGTAAAGGGTAAGTGAAGGGCACACCTTCCCATTGGGGAAGAAACCAACCCAACCCATGTGAGAATTTGTTTCATTGAATTGACATTGCAATGCAATTTCTCGATACACATGCATGCTAACCATGTTAATTTTTGCCTCCGACGCCTGACAGACTCTTTCAATAGAGATAGATATATAGGTATGATCAACGAATGTCCAGTGTCAGTCCAGTGCCCAGCAACCCAGCATCAGTCCCATGTACTGTACCTGTACCTGCACGCCTGTTGTTGGAAACGGAGCATGAATCACGCGTAAAGTAACACAGAAGGTAGAGTTCAAGGTGGAACGATCATCCGACAATGAAACATATGAAAGAGACTGTGCCTAGTGGTAATGTACCGATAAGACTAATTGATCTCTGCCACATCCAAGGCCGTGCTGGCAGCAAGCGACGGTCTCGTTTCAATTGAGCCATCAAGGCTTGCATGATGAACCAGATGTCCACCCATAGGTAAGTCTTTAGTGGGAGACAGCAAGATAGGCACCTGTTTGGAATCGTGAAGGTCCTCGCTGCCACCAGCAGAGCCGGCCGATAGATCTGCCTTGGGATCGGATGGAGTACCCATAATTCCGCTGGTACGTACTGTAGGTCTTACCGGCGTCTGGCGAGCTTTCCCACTGTCTTTTCCGGACGTCTCCAGCGAGATTTCATTCTCTTTGTTCTCGTAAGACAGACCTTCCTTGCGACTCTTGACATGCGTGCTGGGACTGGCATGCACCTTGCCTGTTGCTGCAGCGTCGGCAGCCGGGTTTGTCTTCGTGCTTGAAGCCGACATTTCACTGGTCTCGGGCACCGATGTCTCTCTCATTTCGGATGCTCGTCCTGTGCTCTTTGAATAAGACACAGATCGAGCTCTCGCCGCCGCCGAAAGCTTAGTCCCCATGGGCAACGCAGTCGAAGGTGTGTTTGTCGGCGCGTACGTGCCACAGTTGAGGGGCGCAGGACTCAGCGCTTCTAACAACTGAGTGTACGACTCCTCGTCGATAGGGGTAACGATGCTAGGATGCTTGCTGTGTTCATAACTGATGCCCGTCATGCTTGAAATGGCGCGACTACTACTGGAGTTGGACGTATAGTCTGGCATAGGCACATCTTCCCAGGACGCTCTAGCTCCTCGGTGGCGTGCAGCCGGGTCGATCACGCAGGGGTCAATGAAGGGATCGGTTACGAATTGTTCTTGAGGCAGCCATCTGGACTCGCCGGGTTGGCCTTGCCATTGGGGCACCTGCCGCTGATAATTGCGGTAAGTCCAAGAGCTGCACCCAGATTGGTTGCTGGTCTGGCTTCTAGTGGCCAATATCTGTCGAACCTCATGCCTGGAAGGTGAGTGCGCGTGGCTGTCTTCAGGTTCTTTCATATCGCTTATAGCACACCTAGAATTGTACTTGAACAGCCGGGGCTCACGCGTCCACATAGAGGGATTCGGCCAGGCAATTTCGGAGTATTCAAGAATCTCTAGTTCTTGTCAATAAGGCTTGTACGCTAAAGCGATTCATAGCAAGCACAACTCACGCATAGGAGCATGCTGGAAAGCAAATGCGATGACTTCTTTCACACGTTCGAAGGGGGGCGACCGGTGAGGCCGCGAAAATCCTTCAGCAATTACTACCCTGATCCTGCCGTAGAGTTCACCAGCATCCCAATGCGGCTGCTTCAGGATTTCATGGTGGAACGTAGGGAAACGGAGATGATCTTGGTTGCCGCTTTTATCGACATCTGGACCAAATCAAGTCAGGAGGCTCACTCGAACAGCAGAAGGCTAGGAGGGACTTCTGAAACGCACAGGAACTCAGATCTAAACCGGCAGAGCCATCTCAGTCAGCTCTGCTTGCATGTCACGTACGGGTCGAGGACATCAAGACCTACCGAGAACATGAGGCCAAGGGGATCTCTGAGTAAACACACTACCGCTACAAGCTATTAGCAAGCACGGCTCCGAACGAAGGAGCCTGCGGGTGACTGAAGACTGCTTACGACACGCAAAGCCCGTCGATAAAGACGCGGACTTCGAAGAGCAATGAATCATCTGGTTGAAGAAGACTTTCCATGAACCGGCTAGGCACAGGCCTATCCCAGCTATGAATGGACACCCGAAAAGGAGTATTTTGGCGCAAGCTTGGGATGAACGTAGTCAAAACCGGCAACTGTCCCAGATTACCTTGTGGTATGGAGCATGAGGCTGGGTTGATAAGGGCTGGGCTGTGCAGGTAGGGAGATTCTGCACGGATCTTAGCAAAGGATGCACACACGTATCTGACCAGAAACTTCTTCAGCACTACTGACCTTTGTCCTTGGTGACAAAACATTGCGTCTTGAATTCTTGGAGAGGCACCTTGGAAGTTTCCGGGAAGATAAGCACATCCCAATTTTCGTAGCGCATATTGAAACTTCTTGTCGTGGGTATCTCTATTTGGGGAGGGAGGGGCGAGGGACGAGGGGATGGATAAACTGAGCAAGGAAGAATCGACGGATAGTAAGATATGTCAAGTATAAAGACCCTCCTCAACCGGTGGTTTTATTGAGGAAGACCCAAGAGCAGGCCTGGGATTGAGATGAAGAGCAAGTATAAAACGAGACGACAGAGTGGAAATGCAGAGACAGAAGGGGAGTAAACGAGAAAGGGAAAGAGAAAGAGAAAGCAATAGACCAAGGAAGGAAGGCAGCAGGAGGAGGAGGCAAGGTCGGTAGATGGACAGATAAGCTGGAGATAGATGGGACAATGGGCATTGGACAATGGACAATGGACAATGATAGTAGGCACGCAGAAGCAGGAGAAGCCGAAGAAAGCAGGAGCAGGGAGCAGGAGCAGCACCTGCCTTGATCAGACACTTTCTGGCAATTCTATGTATGGGAGTACTAGGTGGACAGGCAATCTATAAGTATCGCGTTCCATATACTATACTACATAGGGGAATGAGTTCAGCTCCCGCGAGCCAACATATCGCGACTTCGACATGGCAGGTAACAACAGTTATAATGGCAAAAACGACATCAGCAGCAGGAGGGCAGGATCAGAATCCTGTCAGGCGAAAGGGGAATCATCCGCATCGCAAAGAGTCAACAAAAACAAAAGGAACCCCTATTACAACCAAGCAAGTTCAGCGCCCTTGAGGCTGGGCCCCATCCGTCAGGCCTCCCCAGTTTCCAATGAAAACTACAAATTAGATCAAAAAGCAGGCAAAGCCAAAGCCCATCACTCCAAATGCCAAGTCATGACGCTTTGCGAATACAGTCAAGAGAGGGGACGACGACATCGATCAAAGATATTCGTTTATGACACCGTCGCGCGCGAGAGAAAGCATCAAAGCATGTATCGAAAGCGGTATGTTCCATGGAAAACAGAATTGAAGGAGCAAATGGCGACATCGCCGCGATGGGATAATGTTATACAGGCCCCCAAATTGATCAGAAAGCACAGCGCGACATCCTCAGAACGAGACACTTGATTGGATTGCTTCATGAAAGGGGAATCTCAGATGAACTTTTCGCAAAAAGCCTGCCCAGGGAGTATATGGGAACCAATGCGCAAATGAAACAGATCCGATTGCTGTCGTACACATAAGGATAAGACCTGTGGAGGCCCCTAGGACATGATAATCAATGTGAGATAGGGGTTGAAAGACGCATTGGAATGGAACGAAACGCACACAACAGACTGGATGAGAGGGGAATTGGAGGGGTAGGTAAGAAGTAGGAACATCAAGATAAAATAGGATAAGATGTGGTAGAAATAGAAACAGAGCTCAAATGCTGCTAAAGGAAAAATAAAGCGCTCGCATATGAAGTACGTAGCACAGGAGGAAATGCTCATCCAGAGCTATAGAGGGTAACTTTCGCAGAAATAATAGCAGACTGGTTATGACACACAAAAGAGACCCATTGTTAAATGACGCAAAACTCCTGCTGTTTCTTTCAAACTAAAGAGGAACGCTCTTTTACTAGACATTGGAGTCAATAAACCCAGGTCCGAGTGCTGCCAGGGCCGCTCACTGGGGGGAACTGACCTTCATAGGAGCAAAGCCGCCGTACTGGTGTGCGGGGGGCATGCCCATCGAAGGGTACATGGGAGGCGGAGGGGGAGCAGGACGGTAGGGGCTGCCAGCAGGGCCAGAGTTGTTCTGGGAGCGACCCCAACTCAAGCGGACACGGGAGTTACCGATGGGGTATCCCTGCATCTGGTTGATGGCCATCTCAGCGGCGTGACGCTGAACGAACTGGACAAAGCCGCAACCCTTTCCAGGGGGGATTTTGACGTAGGTGATCTCGCCGAATCCCTGGAAGAAAGAGCGGAGCTCATCTTCAGTGACATAGCCAGACAGACCACCGACGAAAACAGTGGTGTTGTTAGGGTCGGTGAACTGGTTCATGGGCTGGGGAGCGCCGTAGAAGCCCATAGGGGGAGCACCCATGGGAGGGTACATGCCCGGCCCGGCGGGCATACCCATGGCACCAGGAACAACGCCGGGTCCCTTGTTCTTGGGAGTGGCGGTGGAGATGCGCATGGGGCGGTTACCACAGTAAACACCCTGCATCTCGCTCAGGGCACGCTGCTGGTCGTTCTCGTCGGAGAAGCGGACGAAGCCATAACCACGGGACATGCCGCTGATGGGATCGGTCATAATCTTAGCCGACTTGCAAGACGGGAAGCGGCTCTGGAAGAGGGAGACGAGCACGTATTCGTTGACCTCGGGGCCAAGGTCGCCGACGAAGATAGAGTATTCGGGACCACGGTCATCACGGCTAGGGGTAAAGTCAACTCAGGCGTGTCCACATCGTGTCGAAGGATGAAGGCCCTTACCTGCGATCAGCGAGACCACCACCGGTAGCCCAGTTAAGCTTGAACAAGCGGTTGGTGTTGGGCATGGGGGTGCCGTTGAGGGACAGAGCCTTGGCAGCAGCAGCGGGAGAGGCGAAATCGACGAAGCAGTATCCAGCGTTGCTCCTACTACCAACATTAGGATCGCCTTCAATCCAAAGCACTTATGCATTACTCACCCAGAGAACTTGTCACGGATCATCTTAACGTTGACCTGCTCACCCATCTGGAACCACAAGTTGCGAACGAAGTTCTCATCGATCCAGGGCTCAAGTTCGCCCATCCTAAAGCGATTCGGTAAGTTTGATGACATGCCTTTCGCGGAGTTTGACTAGACATACCAGAGGGTAGTCTTGCCCTCATTAGCCTGCTGGGGAACAGAAGCAGCATTGGGCTCACCGGGAGCAGGTCCCTGGAAAGCAGCAGTGCTAGGATCAGCCTGGCCGGTCATGGTGGTGTCCGCAGTAGCGGGAGCACCAGGAGCGGCAGCAGCAGCATCAGCAGCAGGGTGCTGGTTTTGGAAAGATTCAAAGTTCTGGAAAGACATATTGACGTAAAAATTCGACTTTCGTAACGATAATTGCGGCAACGGTATCTGCGCAATGACAAGTTCAAGTTAGTAAATTGCAACCCCAATTCTCAAGCTCAAACAGTAGCACTCTTCGAGCGACCACAAGTAAGATGGAGACAAAAATCATCATACCTTAAAAGTGCAGGCGGAAGGAGAATGAACTCAAGCGAAATCAACTTTTCTATACCGAAAATGGCCCGTGCGACAAGGGGTTCGTTCAAGTCGTCAAGGAGTAAGACGTAGGATCGTTCAGTTTTGTGAAATGATTTAAGATAAATCACTTCCTGGAAAGACAAGGACCTTTTGTTAGCGATCGGGATGGATAACTAGACAAGACGACAGAGTTTTCACAGCAGCTCGTGAAATGGTGTAAACCGTAGTGTACCAAGCAGGGAAACGAATAAAATGACAACGGAGACCATGCAAATAGCAGAATAACGCAAGTTAGAAGCGAGACATGTACAAGCCAGTAAAGAAGTGAAATCGGCAGAAAACGAGACCAAGGGATTGAGAAGGTCCTTGTTCTAGGGCGAATCAATGGGGAGGGGTTTTTTTTTTTGGCTTCGAGCGGATCAAGCGAGAAAAAGATGGAAGAGGAAAGGTAACAGGAAGGGATCAGCCCAACAGGGAATTTGCTCCCTTCCTGCGCCAAGACTCAGGTTCCTCCGGGTGATGGCAGCGAAATAGCCGGAACTGTGAGATTTAGGGTGTGAATTGACAAGAACCGGAATGGCGAGTATGCTCGGGGTCATTGTGTGAAGATAGCTGGAGCTTTCAACCCGTTCATAGCTGCATTCGTCGATGACATATCCCGAAATTTTAGTCCATCCGCGCACGGTTGCGACCGTGTCAATTGGCCCATCCAATCCTCCCTTCACTGCGCTACTCAGAACCAGGAGATAATCGAACCAAGCCGATCAATGACGACAATGGAGACGTAGCGATCTTCAGCGGAGACAGAAGCATTCGAGCGACCGTTCAAGTCCGTCGGCCAAGCGACCGTAGCGATGAATGCCGCGGGCGCGTGGTGCATCATCGGGAAGTAGACTCGGCAAAGGTTCTGCCTCCAAAATTATGCCCCAGAGGTCCGCGAGCAGGTTGCTGGTAACGTCGACAACCATGTTGAGGGCGCCCGATGCTATATTGATCGTAGGGGGGCATTTGATAACCGGTGTGGCCGAAGTATCCCGCGCAAGCACCATCGATGGGGGGGAAATGAAAACGTGATGACTCAAGCCAAAAGAGGATAGAACAGGCAAAAACAATAAAGCCAAAAGAAAGAAGAGTTTGATATCATAAGATATACACTACTTACCAGACAATGTCAAAAAAAAATCGCAACGTATGTATTGGCTTAGAGACAAGAGCTGCGTTGCTTTGGCGAGGCGCGAGGATGCGTGAAGACAGGGACGTCACAGAGAAACCAGGAACTGGACGAGATAACTCCGGCGAGGTGGAGAAGAATAGGAAGCAAATCCAAAGAGAAATAGTTAAGAGAGGGAAAAGACACAGAACTATTCGCGAAACCGACTCCGTGTTTTCCGAAAAGCACACAAGGGAAGGGTGGAAGAACTCAAGAAGAGAACAGGGAGGACAAAAATGGGGTGGGGGGAGGGGAGGGAGAAGAGAGGAAAGAGGAAAGAGGAAAGAGGAAAGAGGAACGACGAAGGAAGAGGGGTAGGGAAGAAAAGATATTTCTTCAGAGGGTCCGATGGAGGAGGGGAGAGAAAGGGAAAGAAAGGGAAAGGAAACGAGGAAGAATGACAAGAGGCTACGACTTTGCTAGGGCAGACCAAGGACGGGAGAAGCAGAGAAACTCGTTAGACGAACAAACGAACTAATTAATTCTTTGGGGAAAATCGAACCTGGGTCCAGGAAAAGGGAAAAAAAAAAAAACCAAAGAAAAATCCAAGTAATAATTATAATAATAATGACAACAAAAAAAATTCCAATTCAATGGATCCTAAATAGGACAAACGGCTAGAAGTTAAGAATGAATAATCATAGGTGCTGACTGCTGAGGGCAAGGCGAACTCAACTCCAGGCTCTTATTTCATCAATTGCTGCTGCAAGCAAACTACTCAATGGGTAACAAGCAACAAGCACCAAGCACCAAGCACCAGCAGCCGCAGAAGGGAAGGAGAAGTGAGGAGGGGCGCAGCATTATACTGTACTGTACTGTAGAACTAACTACCTGCCAGCTGGGTGGGACGAAAGTTTGCCGACTACTATTGGAATAGTCATTTTTCTACTAACCAAAATGTTCTCCTCTATTTGGCTCTTCTTTGTTGGGTCTCCGTTGACAATCCTGGTTGAACCAACCCTATGACCGGCTCAGCAGCTGTGAGTGTGCATTGGGTGGGTGTAGATCTGGATTTCGACGTGCAGGTGGGATCGTGTGGCCTTACCGCAACCCAGGAGGATCTAGTGATAAGCCTAGTACTGTAGGTACTGTACAGTGTACACCTAACTTACATACATCAGTACTCAGTACAAGTAGTATTACCCAGGTGTCTTTCTGCAGTGACTTTGTTTGTATGCCGGGTGTACAACCTTACAGGATGTATGTTTTAGCTTGTTCCACCTCCAATCCGTGCTTGGTTTGAGGCTCATCAATTTGCACAGCACAATACATAAGCACTATCGTGGATGTAATTTACCCTGCACTCTTTTGATTATTCGAGAATTGGAGCTCTCCTCGTATCGGAATATCCCTCGCTATGATGATTTCACAGCAGCTTTTCGATCGAAGAAATTATGACTGTGTCCTGAGGAATCCAGGCAGGCTTTGCGGGCCCTCGACTGGTGAGATCAAGGCTCTTGAACGGACCATACATACCTGGACTATACATACGAGTATTGAGAGGCTATGGTGGATACCTACGTCGACCATCGGACCCAGCCCAACCAAATCGCCCTCGAACCAGATGACTGCTGCATCCTGCGGGCTTGCGACTTGACATGATTCTTATTTCCATCGCACGCGACATTTGTTGTCCCCCGTTCTCGTGTTCCCAGGTGGTAGGGAGAGTGTGCTGAATGATATAAATGCTTTCCTGTGTATAAGTGACAACTCAGGGCGGTCCATTGTCGCTAAGTGAATTAGAAAATGAAACATCAATAGCTTGAAGGAGCCAAACCCCGTTATCTTGAGAGGATCCCCAATTGTGTAGGATTATCAGCAGCAGATGAGCCCGTCGAGAATTTGATGACGATTGGCACCTCTCACGAATATGGGGTGGTGTTGCATCACGTTTTGAGTCCTTCTCGAGCACTGCTCACAATGTGTGTAGCATGGTCCTGGCGCAAGGAGAGAGAGCGAGAGAGGAGAGGTGGGGAGCAGACAGTGGCTGGGTCTGATCCCCTTGATATGTGCATACTCATATGTACAGTACTGTACAAGACCTGGAGGACTCGGAAGCACATAAGGAGTCAAGGGGCAGACAAGCAGATAAGTGATTGTACTTACATAGTAATACTTCTGGCAGCATAACAGAACAAGAGAGAGTACCGGTAGGCATTAGTGAGGGCAAATGGCCAAGCAAAGCTGTATGGAACCTGCAAGGACCTGACTTGAATGATGCATACTCGGTGGATAACCCACCCAGGCTGAGACTGCTGAGGTCTTTTCCTTCCTCCATTCGTTTTGCTGGATTTATTATGGTTTTTTTTTTTCCTTCTTTTTTTCCTTTTTTGATTTTTTTCCCCGGCAACGCGCTATGACTCGCCCGGTCCCATTCGTGTCCCATGGGCCCTTATCGTCATGAGTTTTGTTCCATTCTCGGCTTGGCCTGGCGGATGCCTGAGGTACTCTGTCATTCGTAGATCGGTTTCCGCTTGCAGCCTAAATTCCACCATTTGTTCCTTGGATCGGCCCTGAGCTGTGCCCTAGGCTAGTTCATACCTAGTACTTGTCCACACCCGGGAGCCGGAAGCCTGGATGAAGCCGACGTGGCTGGAGAAGATGCCCACTAACCACTGGAATGACCTCCCTATACATATACAAAGGGCAACAGATGAAGACATGGTACCCCGTATGGTTATCGTGATCATGTTGAAACAAAGAAGAACAGAAGAGACAAAAGTGGGAGCGAAAGCGCCCGGACTGCCCGGTTGGGGGAGGGTGCAAATGAAAGGGCGAAAAAAAAATCCTCGCCCCCACCAATGCGGCCCCGGTCCATGGACTTGAGAGCTGCTAATGCTCAATCCAGATGACAAAAACCCTCAGAGAGGGTTAGTCACCGCTGAAGCACATTCGAGAAGTACAAAAACCATGTGGTTGTGGGTGGTTCCTGTTGCCTAGCACGGGGGCGCTGGCTAGTAGACTAGAATCTGGGTCCGAGATACAAATGGTCTTTGTCGAGATCCCAGAATGGAGAAGAGACAAGGTCTGAGGGGATCAGCTACTCAGGCCAGTGCTTTTACTGACTGAGCACATCTGATTAGGTTTAAACTTAATATTTCTGTGGTAGGGTAATACTCGTACAAACATCATCACTAAAAGTAAGAGAGAAATTAGTGAAGAATATGACTAAGTACCGCTGGAAAGACACAGGTCAGTCGAGGCCGTCAGTTGGTCCATGCAGCAGGGGTTGGTGAATTCGAAGATACATGTAAATGGTACTCGTAACAAGGATTGATCTTGATCATACTTGAGCCACGTTCGGTTTGAGGTTGCAGAAGATGGCTCTAGAGGCTTCGAAGAGGTCAGTACTTTGAAAAGCAGTTAGTTAGATGTGAGTACAGTCCATCAATCAATTGAATGTACTGTGCTGAGCATATCTCCATACTCATACGCTAAGCAAGGACCTAGTTAGGTAATATGAGGCAGACTCCACACCATCCAGTGCCCGGACCGTGGAAACTGCCTCCATGAGGCTCTCATTGGCCACCGCTGTGTGTAATCAATCTGCCCAGTGGGTTTAAGGTGTATCGATACTTACGGAGTAGTACGGAGTACACTGCACCTAACACGCATCCAACACGAAGTGTCTCAAGATGAACTGAGTCCGTGATGACCGTGGCATATTTAGCTTCTGTGTTTCATCCACAAGAAGTATGTATACTTGTACTTTCTTGACATCTAAATCCATGATACATGTAGCACGGACCGACTCTCACCATTTCATTCCACCGACGAAAAGTGAGATTCCCTTTCCTACGAGAACACGGACGCGGACCAGACGCGACGCGATCAGTCTATAGCAGAGTGCAAGTTTCCTCTGGTCCATACAAACTTGCCATTGACTCCATCATGCTCTCAATTCGATACCCTCTATCTCCCTCCATCCGATCCGCACACTCTAGCATAAGCATGGGTGCATCGTATCATGTTACTCTACACAGGACTATACTATACTATACTGTGCTACATACAGGACATGCACCCAACGCCCATCATAATACTTATACATACTCAGTAATCAATGAGAAGCGCAAGGCTGGTCCTATTGGTACGGTCCTCATTCATGTTGACCCGATCGAGGATTTGCCATGCGAGGATTGCAGCACAACTAAGCCCGAATCGAGTGGTGCGACTGTGCTGTGCGTGCTTGCTAAGTTCCTTTCCCTCCCCCTTGAAGTGGGTTACACGATCATGCCTGGGTCAGCAGTCGGTCCCTTGCAGGGCAGATAACTTCAAGGTTCCCACTTCCCTCCCTGGAGAGTTCAAACCAATCGACTCCCATTACCCCGTCGGGAGATGCTCGGATTTATTGACTACGCCAATGCTGTGAGTAGACAGATTTATTTTAATGATTGTATTGGACCTACCTACTGCTATTGTATGTACTCCGTAGCCGGATTCCATCCACCAGACAATCAGTGAGTAGTACCGAAAAAAGAAATTGTTTTATTGTCTCGCAGCGCGAAACTCCTCTCTCAATTCTCCATCGCAGTTCTCTGGAATGGGAGTTGCAGGAACCATGGGTTGAATATGATCTAAGAGGATTTCGTAATTCTCTACGCCGGTAGTCAAGCAGTACAGTACCAGGGACCGGCAGGTCATGACCAGTAGACTACTCTGTAGGGTGCAGCGCAGTCGGAACCCCGACAGCCGACAACGACAACCCACGAACGAGTACGTGTCGTGTCATGTTGGAAAATCTGGGACGTGTTCGACACGACACGTTCAGCAGATTCTAGCTCCAGCTATGATCCTCCGCTGACCAGGCTTGTACCTGCGTGCCAAGTCCAAGTCTCCTATTGTGCTGCTGCTGCTGCTGCTGCTGCTGCTGCATTGGATCAGCACAATCCAGGCATAGCTAGATGTTCACATCCTTCTATCTGCCTGGTCAATCAAGTCATCCGGGTGTCACTAGAAGCTAAAACACTGACGAGTAGACAAAAAGTCTTGATGACCCTGACCCTATGAAAAGCATCAAGTCTCAATCAATCTGCCTCAGCATCCACCACTCCATCGCATTGGCCCCCTCCCTCTCCAGCCGCCATATCAGTATCACAGAACTCCCCAGTATCTGCCTGGCCCAACTCATCCCCAAGCAATTGAATCGTCTTCTCATACACCTTGGCCGTTTCCATCTCCCACCTCCCGGGGATCGGATACTCATCCATCCCCAACGCATCATCCATCAACTCATCCTCATCATCATCCTCATCATCGTTCCCACTACTATCCTCAAACCCATTCCTCCCACCGTCATCATCATCATCACCAAGGTCCTCCTGCTCCCTCGCCTCCACAACCACAACCCGACAGGTCTCCGCAATACTCTTGATACGCACCTTCTCCGTCATCGAGACGACGTTAGTCCGTGCCTCAAACCCGGGCAGCGGCGCCCCGGAGTCCACATCCTCCCCCAGAAGGAGCGACGCAAAGACCGAGTCCAGCTTCCGCAGCAACCGGAACGTCGCCTTCGCCGCGAATGGATAATCCGGTAGATAAGAGTTGACCTGGACGGCCAACGAGATCAGGTAGGGGATCTGTAATGAAGCTAGAAACACACCACGCAAAAACAAACAGCAGCATCAGCACATGTCAACTGTCAGCCAATATGAGAACGACTCTTTCTTCCGCTGTTACAGCCCAGAAGAAAGAAAGAAAGAAAGAAAGAAAGAAGGGGAGGTAAATACATACGAGTCCCACTAACCCACAAAACATCCACCAAACCCTCAAAGTCTTTCGCTACTTCCTTAAAGCTCTCGTAACCCCTTTCCGACTCGGACTCCGGTGCTATGCGCTGGCTGTTGCTGCCATTGCTGTGGTTGTTGTTGTCGCTGCCGTTATCACTAATAAAAGCCCCGCTGAACTTCTTAGCGTGCCGGCGGCTGATGGTCAAAAGCTTCTTGTCGATATACTCCAGGACCGTGGCCTCTTTTGCGGATCCCGGCCGCAGAGGGTGGGCCCGTGGTTTGGGGAGAAGCGATGGTGTTGCGGTGGATGTGGTGGGGGTTGGCGATGGAAGATGTGCTGATGGTGGGATGAAGCCTCCTCCCCCTCCCCCTCCTCCCATGTTTCCGGCGTCTTGTCCGCGGGGCATAGTCGCTGGTGACGGTGCAGCCATGTAGGTAATTTCTTTTCTTGTTAGGTTCGATCAGTTTAACAGTGCGGTAGAGGTGACCTGGCTTTTGTCGCGAGCTACGAAGTAGAGAAGATCAGAAGTAGATGGTGGTCGTACCGTACCGCAGAGCTATCTGCTAACTTATCTTGCGTGACGTCGAGCTACTCAATGCGGTATAGCGGGTTCTCGGTGGCTTGGACTCAGCGGCGAGCGACGTCTCAAGAACAAAGGAATTCAAACGAAACATCGTTGAAGCGGAGGGAGGAGCTGGGGGGGATTTTTATTGGAAGACATCCATAATCACAGGGTGGTGTCGCATTTAAGCAATTGGCAATGGTGGTGGTGCCACCTACGGAAGCTTGACAGCTCTTTCAAAGCTCGGTTCTATTCATCTTCAAATAGTTTGCTACTTAGAACAGCATACCTCAAAAGTCCTCGGTACTTCTTGGTGACTGCTCCCTGCCCTAAACGCGTTACCTGTTGAGAATATACCCCCTTCGATTCTGCAGAACACAACATTGATGCCTCCGGCCATGCAAGGCCATAAAATGGAGACTTGTGGCAAGGCAGTTGGCGATTAGAATGGGTGTCGAGATCCCAACCACCGAAAGTCTACAGAATATGCAACATAAGCCTGTTCGTCTGGGAAAGTATGGATTGATCCAAGCGATCGCCAGTGCTGGGCCGACTTTCCGATACGCTCTCTGTACCCGAGAAGTGAATTAGCACATGTTCGAGAAAAGACCCATGAATCTCCACAATGTATGGTCCCAAACTCAGGTTTCAGAAGGTGAGAAGATTGAGTAATGCTGGTTTTTGAAGGCATGGCAGGACATCAAGCTACTAGCTGAGTCTTGCTACTCTGGCCCCAGCGTATTCATCATATGCATACAAAGTACGGGGAAACAATTTAGGTGTAGGGGCACAAACGTAAACGTAGCACTCACATCAATCATCGGAGATATTGACCTCTACCTCAAACACAGTATTCTATCTACCCGAAAGACTCGACTTTTGGAATTGATCCCTCCCTAACGCCGCGCTAAACCAAGACGATGTGTGGAATAATTGACTGTAGAAAATCCCGGCCGAGAGACACAATCACTCGGGCTGCAGAGAAAGGCACATGGAATGCGTTAGCTTCTTTTAATCAACGAAGGCCCCAGAAGAGCAAACGCAAAAGAACCGAATTGAGACAAACTCACCGCGAATTTCCCCTTCCTCCTCTTCAGATCCGCCAACTTCCTCTTATCTTCATCGAACTTCCGCAACAGCTCATGTTGCCTCTCCTTGCGCTTCTCTCGGGACTGGAAGCGGTAGAAGTCCTCCAGGCCCTCCTGCTTCTTCTTCTGCTTCTCGATCAACTCGCGGGCCTCATCCTCGTGCGTCGCGTCCGCCAGCTTGGGTCCACTCGTGACCGTCACGAAGCCATCCTCGTCCGGCTCCTGGGCCTTGCGCGCCGCCTCGCGCTTCCGGCTCTCGGCCACCTGCTCGAACACCGTCATGAAATCGTTGACCGTGCGGAGCAACTCTCCACGGCTGGGATACCGGGCCTGCGAGTGGAAGAGATACCGCTCCAGCCCGAGAGCCGGCACCCGGTCCTCGTCAAGCCCTTCCCCCCAGACAATTTTCTTACTGCTGCTGCCACTGACCGCCTTGCGCGCGGCCTTCCGGGCAGCCTTCAGGCTGGCCTCCATGCTGGGCTGATCCACAAAGACCACGACGGCGTGCGCTCCGCTCTTCTGCAGCGGCCGGTCCCAGACCGCGGGGAGTTCGATATCCTCCAGCTGAGACTCCAGCTCATCCGCGGTGACGCGCTTCCGTTTCTTGGCCTTGCTGCCGCCGACATTTGCCTGCGGGAGCGCAGCCTGGTTCTTCTTCGTGGGGACGGACTCGAAGTGAACGCGCTCGACGCGGCCGGCCGAAAGCTGGGTACCGAAGAGGTGGCGCAAGTGAGTCTCGGTCGTGTCGATGGGCACGTTGACAATGAACATCGAGCGAGGGGTGTCTTCGTCCGGAATGCGAGGCTCGTGGACGCGGAGGTACATGTAATGCGTGGCAGCCTTTGCAGAGGAGGTCTTGGGGAGCTGTAGGGGCAGCACGGCGTAGCCCGCCACCTCGAGGTCTTTCTTCATCGTAGCAATTCGAGAACCTAACTTGAAACGAAACCACTCGATTCTTTGACGCAGATTATGCGAGTAGAAGCAGGAGATTGGGATGGATGCGCAGCTAAGGAAAATTGTAATCGGGGTTACTTTTTTTTCTATTGGGGCGGGGAGATGATTTTGCACCGGCAGTTTGGAAGGCGGAGAGAGGCTAACTTACCCCGACGAGCAGAAACCGTCTGAAAGGAAGAGCTCAAGTCAATTGACAACTAACACGAAAGACGCACATATTCGTACAATACATTCAAGTAGCATCTCGAATGAAATAAAGCTTGCCATAATGCAAAATTACAGCCATCGATGATTCGGTAATCAGTCGCGAACATCCGACATGCACCCTCTCATGTTCTGCCCTAGGGATATACATTTTCCACTACACCTTGTCTGGATCATTGATTCCGCCGTTGGTAATCAGATAAGTTGCCTCGCGCTCAGGACAATCTGAGAAGAGTTAGAAAGAGTCCATGTTCGATGAAGGTAGCCTAGCAAACCCGGAGAATCCTGGATCTTGGCCACTCGCTCCTCGCCACGCCCCTTTCGAAGTAGCACTCGGGTTGTAGATGCATGCGCAAGGACATGTCCACCAACTGGCTTACGGCCATCGGCCCCGGCAAACAGAGCGCTGGCGCCAGGGTCACTTTGAACCTGATTTGTCTGCATCTCGATGAGAATCGGTCCGAACATATAGTATAAGGTTAGAAGGACGACGACAGACCATCAGGACGCAGACGTTGAACTCTGCAGTTCAGATGTAGTTAGTCTTACAACATATCTCATGTAAGGGTTGCATGTATGTAGCACCATACCTTCAGCCATATGGGCAAGTCTCATCAGGAATTGATTCAATTTCTGCTGACGCTCTGCAAGTTCCCCACGTCCACAGTAGTCGACGCGGAAGCAGTTCATGATGCTGTCAATTATCAGCAGCCGATACTCCCCGGAGGCAAACTCGCGACTCAGAGTATTCAGTAGCTCTAGCTGATGCTCGCTGTTCAAGGCGCGAGCGTAAGCGATGTTCTCCTGCGTGGAGTCTGGGTCAACCCCAAAGCGTTCGGCGATCTGAGCAATGCGCTCGGGTCTGAAAGTGCCTTCTGTATCGATATATGCCACTTTGCCATCGGCCCCGCCCATATCCTTTGGGAGCTGGGCAATAACGGACATGGTATGCGAGAGTTGGGTCTTACCGCAGCGGAACTCACCATACACCTCGCTGATGCTCATGCTTTGAAAGCCCCTGCGAGTACCATGATGATTAGAATACTTCACTGGTGCATATTGCAAGGTAACAGAGCCTTACCCTCCTAAGATGGAGTCGAACTGTTTGCTCCCTGTTGAAATGCGTACCACCTTTTTGCGCTGGTGGTTCAACTCCATCGCTGTCATGAAACCAGAGGCCGAGGGCTGATTCTGGGCTATGAGATTCACCACTCGGAGGACTTATCGGAGAATTAAAGCACCCACCAGGCATTTCTGAATGGCGTCCTTGATCTTCTCAACTTTGACTTCACTGAAGCCGCGAATCTTCAGCAATGTTCTCCGCGTGGCGCTATGAACGGACTGCAGAGAAAGCCAACAGGTGAGCAGATGGTATAGCGACGGAGCGGCTGGACACGATGGCATACTGCAACTGTGAAGTAACCATTCGCCTTCAGCTTGTTGATATCTGCAACTCCAATCCCTAAATGCAAATGAGCTGAATGAAGTAGGAAAGAATGAGGAAAGCAGTCAAAGAGAGGTCAAAGGAGTACCGTGAGACTGGATTGAATCAATATCGACGATGACGGCCTGTTATAGGAGAAAAGAAGTGCAGCTTTTAGCAAACAGGATTTCCCAAAGAGCAAGCGAAATGAGAGGATGAGCAGGGGATCTACATTGTTTTCGAACTCGTCACTTGTGTCAGAGCCCGGCATGATTCTTGCTTGAAAGCGCCGGGTTAGAGTCGTCTAGAATAGGCCTCGGCGGATAAAGATTATGGCGTCGCCTGCTGCTTGGATCCGATTGCAGAAGGCAATGCAGAGTATCTTAAGAAGGGATGGGCGAAACCATGAAGTGGGAGGTTACAACTTAGAACAGTACTGCATGTACATTGTAGTATCCAGCAGGCGCAGCAGCACAGAACCGGAAAACCCAACAGAAGTACTACCGAGCAGTCACTACGCAAACCCAACATCCACCTACTCATTGACCTGCGGGCAAGAAAATTACTTTCAATGGTGTTTCTTCGCTTTTGAATTTTTGTTTCGCTTCCCAATCGACGTATATGAGAAGGATATAGTACGAAAAGATGAGGAGGTTGCCACAGCGCCAGGTAGATCTTTTCACCACTCACACATCTTCAGCAAATACACACCCATACACAATTCCAGCCAAACCTCCTTAAAGCCTGTTCCCATGCATGCAAACGCGCTCGCTTCGGTCCACCATTTGTTTGTTCTGCGCTCAATTAACCCGTCGCCTCGCCTGGGCCTCGTCTCCTTCTTTCTTGCCGCATCTGATTTGTGTAAATGAGAAAGATACCCGAGGTGAACAATAGACGCCATCCATAAGTCCCTGAGCAGTGTGTTCAGGACCCAAGCAGTAAGGAAAACCAAGACTTCGTGAAACTTTTGTTGTTCGTCGTATACATAACGGAGATTGAAACCAGTTGGTACCAAGAGTTGTAATGATGGGAGGCCGCAATATATGCAAAGGAAGAAACGTGGAATAAAAAAAAATTGAGACCAATGTCGGCTAGCCCTAATACAAAAAGAAAGAATGGGAATGGCTCCCAATGACTGGGAATGAACAATCGTAGAGGTACATTTACGCAACAGCGGCGGGAGCTGCAGGCGCAACAGCGGCGGCCTCTTGGCTGGCCTCAGCACCGGCGGCAGGGGCAGGGGCAGCAGGGGCAGCAGTAGTCGCATCGACAGGCTTCGAGACATCACCGTTGGGGCAATCGCGGGAGATGTGGCCGGGTTGGGAGCAATTGTAGCAAACCTTGCCGGCAGAGCTCAAGGGGCCACCGTTGGGAGCGGTGCAGTCGCGAGAAATGTGGCCCTGAAAATCGTTAGTCAGGACGAATGGGAGGGACAGGAGGTGGGCAATTGGAAGCCATACCAGCTTGCCGCAGGCGTAGCACTTCATGGCCTGAGCCTGGCAATCACGGGCAAAGTGGTTGGGGCCACCGCACTTGTAGCAGGTGGCAGGACGACCACGGAAGCCGGGGTTGAAGGCACCCCGGGGGCCAGCAGGGGCCCGAGGAGCACTCGTAGCAGGAGCGGTACAGTTGCGCTAGGAAATGATCAATGAGTTTATTTTTGTAGCGATTGTGTTCAGGTGGACCGTCGACATACAGCGATATGGCCGGGCTGGCCGCAGTTGTAGCAGCGGCCGTTGGCATTGTTAAGGCGAAGCGTGGGGCAATCAGCCTGAACGTGGCCTACCCCCTGGCAGTTGTAGCACTGCTTGGCTAAAAGACCGTATATCAGTTTACTCATCGTAAACGAGATATCTTGAGGCACGCTTACACTCGGTGGTACGGGGAAGCGGGCAGCTGCTGGACTCATGTCCTGTGAGCGGGTTAGATATGTTCATGGTGTGTATGTGACATGCATCGCATAAGACGTACCGGGCTGCTTGCCTGTGATATGAGAGGGTGGTTAGCGATTGAATACAGCAGCTTAGATAGATCATTGGATTGCACCCACAGTTGTAGCAAAGACGCTCAGACGAAGTGCAGACCTCTACATGAGCCAATTAGCGAGTTTTGGCCTGGGCCTCAGGCGTTTCTGAACCATCAACTGACCAGCAAAGTGGCCAATGTTGCCACACTTGTAGCAGGCTCGGCGAGACAACAACATTGTCGAAGAATGGAACGAGCCTATGTGTGATTATAAACATCGCCGTCAGCGGTTCTGAATCGAATAAAGTGTGCTTGCAGTATTTATTGTCGAGCTGGGCGCCGCTGGTCGCATTGGAAAGATTTCGGCGCCATGCAACTTTTTCCCCATTCCCCGAAGACTTGGGCAAGAACCGTGGAAGTTATCAGAGATCCGCCACATTGCTGTATATAACTCGCATGCAATTGTTCCTCTCAAGCGCATCGTGGAGAATTGACTGTAGGCGATCGTGGACGACAGGAGCAAAAATCGGGAACAGCGGCCAAAGAAAGTTGCAAGAATAGTCGCGCAATGCGGCCACCGGGAATGCAGCACGATGAGGGAGACGTAAGGAAGGACTCACTCTTTCCTAGATTATGAGCAAAAGGAGACCAGTGAGACACCCTTCCAATCTTTGGCAGAAGGCCTGATAGAGTCGTTAGCTCGAGAAGCTTGGAGAAATCAACACTTTTGACAACCTGCTCCTTGACAGAGTGGGCTGACATAAGACCAAGCAGGTGAAAAATTGTCACGGAACGGAAAATTGGCAAAAGTAACACTAACCGAACATGAGATGCGCTGGATGATTTGATAGACAAGGAAACTAGGAAGAGATATGATACGAGATCGAGATCCTGTTGGATTCAATGGTTCTAGATTTAATGATATACAAGCTCCTAGGAAGAGTAGATGAGGACAAGGTAGAAAATTGACGGACTTCCAGAGTACCAGTCCAAGTCTAAGCGATTGAGTTAAGTAAGCAAGGGAACAGAAAGAGACCGATTTTGTGATGTATGGTTACAGTAAATCGTTACGAACGGTAATATATAATACAATATTCTGTACTCCGGAGTTACTGTAGGTTCCAAGTTAGCTCCCGGGCTTTTCCGTAAGTTCTCGGTGCAACTTAGGTTTTGGCCGGAAGGTTGGATCCTCCCCGGATTAGCACCGGTGGAAGGGGGCAATGCCAGGTGCCCTGTTGCCGGGTCTGGCAGTACACTTGTATCGTACCAATGTATTGTGAGTGTATTCAGTACTGTATTGTCATTGTTTTTCCTTCATTCCAGTGTCAATAGCACAATTCTTGACCGATGAACCTACAGCCAATTCGAGGTACTCATGTCCGCAGTGTCCCTAAGCCTCTCCAGAGGCTGAAGCTGTAGAAAATCATTTCATGAGCTGGTATACAAGAAGTGGCTCTTCCAGCCACTAAGACCAAATGACAGCAGCTATACAATCAAGGCTGGTGGGTGGCAAACCATGCTCCCAGCTGAGCAGCGTTCCATGGTTTTTTCCTGTATTGTTGATCTGCCATGTGCATACAGCAAGCAGCAAGCTATCACACTTTGTAAACGCACTTCAATGTAATCCCGAATTTCTGCCGCAGTTAAGCTGCAGTATCAATGCTTGAATAGGTCCATTACATGCACATTATTCCATCCCAGCTGGTCGATGCTTATGGTAGTTATGTGGGCGAGTTCACTCCTCCTTCTCGATAACTGCCGGGGCTTTGATCTCACGGCCTTTGAGGAATTCCAGCCCCTCACCGCCCTATAAAATAGTTGTCTTAGTCTCCACTGTGCCGTGGTGCGGAATGCGCACCAAAAGGGGTAGGTATACTTACGTAGCTGATCAGTGGGGAGACTTCAACACCAACTGCTTCGCCCTCAGTGACGACAACACCACCCGCCTTCTCAATCCAACGCTGTCCCTGGTTCATGATGTCCGCCTTGCTGGTGTCTGGGTCATCTTCGCCGGTGCCCCGAGCGTTCTTCAGTGGCGAGAATTCGTCCTCGCGGCGCACTTCGATGCATGCAAACTTCTCCAGTGGCGTCAGGGGGAAGACGTCGAAGACAAATTGCTCGAGCTTGACGCCGTTGGGCTTTTCCGGCTTGAAGAACTCGCCAGTCTCGGTGATGATGCAGGGAATCTTTTTGCGGGCCACGTGATGAGGCAGCTTGTGGCTCCATGTCTCAATCGATTCGAAGAAACGGAACGAGTAGTAGTGGTTGACAATGTTCGCCGCACGGAACTTGAGGACGTCGGGTTGCTTAGGGTCTTTGGCCTCAGCTGTCTCCTTATCGATTTCGGAGTACTCGACGACGTCGGGCTTGCCATTCTTCTGAAGAATCAAGCCCACGGACTCAGTAGCATTGCGCTTCCGGACTACCTTGGTGGCGATATCAACCTTCTTCGAGGCGGCGAAACCGATGAAAACGGGGTCAGCAACCTTGACGAGGCAGTTATCGACACAGTATGTGTGAATGTGCTCGATTCCACGCTTGCGCATATCCTCTCTGACGCCGGAGGTGATAAGGGCCAGATAAATACCACCGTTGCCATCGGGAGCCACGGCTGCCTGTATAAGAGTGGTCAGAACCCAAGACCCCTGGCGGTAGAAACTGATCCAACTCAACGTACCTTGGATTTGCTCTCCATCAGGATCTTGCCTTCGTTGGAGATACAAGGCAAGACGCCCTGCTCAAAAATGACCACATTGCTCTTGTCCAACCCAAAGTAGTTGTGCTGGCGGAAGAATTCCTCCGTCGGTTTGCGAGTGGGACCACTGGTCATCACATACCATGGGATGGCAGCGTCCTTCCCGGTCACCTTTTTGGCCAAAAGCTGCAACTTGACGATGCGCTCCGCCTGAATCTGGAAGAGAGACTTGTGGCTTGGAAGGCCGATGTCGAAACAGCCCTTAGGAGCTGAGCTACCCAGGCGCGTTCCCTGCCCACCAGCCATGAGGACCACAGCCACCTTGTTGTCCGCAGTCAACTGCAGTCCTTCCTCATACCATCTCTGGATGTCGCTAGGGTCCGAATCCAGGATGGAGGCGGTAGCCACATCAGGGAGGGGTTCCAGCGAGGCAGGACCTTCCTGGGCCTTTGGCGGGTTCAAGGCCTTGTCGGCCAACTCATTGATGCGGTTGGGGTCGAAATTGCTCAATTGGTGAAAAAGCTGGGTCTTCTCCGCGGACTTCAATTCATCGACGAAGGCGAAAACGTGTTCTTGTTTGGCATCAATGTACTTCTGTCTGAGCTGCTGGAATTCTTCGGGCGATGGCTCCCGAAGAGCGTTCTCGGGCTGGCTGTGGAAAAGGTTGGAGACGGTCTCCTTAATGGCGGCGGCAGTCATGATGAACAGCGAGAAATCAAAGGGTATCACAGGTAAGATGGACTGAGAGGAGCAGGAGTAGTAGTTCTAGTAGAAAAGAGTGAAGAATGAGGGAAGAGGAAAAGGAAGAAGATGGAGGGGGGGAAGGAAGCTGTTATTAGCGCGGGGTGAACTGGGAAGAGGAGGGAAGGGAGGGGGAGGGGGAGGGGAAGATCGGCCCATAAAAAAACAACCTACGTAATTAAGTACAACCAAACAAATAGGTTGGGATGAAACCAGCAATTATTATTACTTAGTTGTTATTATTGTTATTATTATTAGTAGTACTACTTTGACTACGGAGGTAGTTTTACGTGCCATGATTGTTGCCTCCAAACCCGTCACTGACCGCCAGAAAGACCCCTGGTTTCAGGGGATCGATCGGTCTTAGTACAGTAAGTACAATTAAATTATTTTTAGACTCAAGTACGGCTTGGAGAGTCAGGCAAACGGAAGATGCAAAGGACTCAACCGGAGGGTGGAGGGGCCAAGCTGGACAAACACAGCCAATCTGCGGTAGGAGGCGGGGCATACCATCGTATAATATTGCGTGGAGCCAGCCCGGTCTGACTTACGGTCTCACCTCGAAGGCTACTTACTTCAAGGTCTAAAAAATCAATAACCACATCTATGTTCTCTAGGATGACCAATCCAGCCCGGCGAGAGGTCATATGTGATTTGAACAACCTTGCACGTCTCCATGATACTAGCTAAATAGCTTCCGAGCCTGGCGAAATGGGTGAACACCCTTTACTGTGCAAAAGGACTGGATTACCAGGAAAGCTGGAAGGCTGGAAGGCAGGTAGTGTACGATAACACTGTAGATAGTAGGTTAGGTTGGTATACATCATTTCATAGCCATGAAGGTCTCTGTCTTGTCTTTCCTTGATCGCTTGATCATCGGCGTCGGCGATCCCGATACCTATCATCATCGCGACGTTCATACCGCCGGTCGCCATACGAGTCTTTCCGTGCTGGGCTTCGGCTGTGCGATCGATCTCGGTAGCGACTACGGTAAGAGTCTCGCCGGGGACTTCGACTAGCTTGTCTATCACGGCGCTCGTTCCGCTGAGGGCTTCGGCTGTATGACCTATCTCGACGAGGGGCAGACGGGCGTCCAGACGCTTTCCTGTCGAAAACCATTGAATAGTCCTCCCGGCGACGTGCATTGTTGTTGTCAGCGGCTCGGTACTGGCGTTTCTTCTCAAGTCCAGCTACACCGCCAAACCCACCCCGCTGACCACTGCGCTTGGTAATGGTTGCGTTACGCCAGCTCTCCGATAGTTTTGATACCTAGTGCATCGAGTGGTCAGCAGCGTCCGACGAGAATGTGCGAGGTAGTACTGCTTACACTTTGCGAGAAATCAACATGGATGCGGTGGTCGTCAATTAGAACACCCTGCATCTTGAAGTAGGCCTGTTCACAGTCCTTTTGATTCTCGAATTCGATAAAGGCATATTGCAGGCTGTCGCCTGTTCGCTTGTCCCGGATCACTTCACACGAGAGAATTGGGCCGAAGCGGCTGAAGATTAGGTTGAGGTCCTCATCTGAAATCGTGTGTCAGTTTGGCGCTTCAGTTAAACAGCATAGGGCATAGATGATTGAAGAGAGGACATGGGTTTGTACCTTGGGTGACTGGGTTCAGCTTGCAGACGAACAATACATTCTCTGGTGGCTTGACCTCGGCAAATGGAAGGTCGCCTACCATCTCTAGGGTCAACGCCTGCGCTCTGGCCTCACGCTCCCGTCGTAGCTTTTCCAGTGCCTCCTCATCCATATTGTCGTCAAGATCCTCGTCATCTGCGATTCTCACCGTAGCCAATTGTGCCTTGGATGGCACCGGGCTCTCCGCTGGCTCCACCAGTCCCGGGGGGTCATTGAAGGGATCATCGAGAATCACAGTGTGACGAATTCTGATATCCTTGAGTGGCCGCCCGCGATCATCGATGAAGGCTTCGTTCACCTTCTCTAGAACGTCGAATCCTTCCACGACCTTGCCAAAGATCACTGCCTTGCCATCCAAGTAGTCGAGACCCTCGCCAAGGGTTATAAGGAACTGGCTGCCGGCAATGCGCAGATCTGGATCGTTGGGAGAAGGGACAGTCGCCATGCTCACAGTCCCTCGCTCGTCGTGTTTTAGTTTGGGAGGGATTGGGAGTGAGAAGGTGCGCTGGGAGGGACCTTGCAACAAGCCCCATATCGAAGATCCGCCATCGCTCTCGGGGGAATCAGGTCCCAAGGGATCGCCGGTTTGAAAGGTAAAATTCTTTTGGACGCTGTGGACGGGCGAAAAATTGTAGTACTTGACTTTGCATAGCTTCAGGAAGCTACAGCGGGAGACCATAGATAGCTTAGTTTTCGTTCAGCCACTCGATTTGTACGCGCGCAGGAGACCATAACAAGAGTACCAAAATGAAGGGATGACACAGGAAGAAATGGTAAGGGGACACATACTTCTCGCAAGCCTTTGGTGACTCGTCGACCAACAAATCAATGACAATGTCGCCGAGAGAGGTTTCCAGCAGGACGCTCATGGCGGATCCCCGGTAGTTGCGGGTGATATCGCAAGGATCGACGGTGCGTAAGACAAAAACAGAAAAAGAGAGTGAAAAAGAACCAAAGGGAGAAAAAATGCAAGTGATCCGAATGAAAAGAAGAACCTGGAAGGCCTAGGGGGGAAGAAGAGGGGAGGGGGGGGGTCGAATTGAAAGCTGCCAAAAGGACGAGCGGGAATTGATTGTAAGATGAAGCAAACCAGGCAAAGGCAAGGTACGGACGGAGTACAGTCAGTAAAAGTTATGATGCGGAGCCGCTACTACGCTGCCGCCCAGCCTATTCCTACTTAAGCAGAGTGTCGGCGGCCCCCCGTCGTAGATCATCGCTGTTCGACTACTGAACATACCCATGTACATGCTCCGTATGTACAGTACTGTACACTTCTGATCTTCTGATGGACTGCGTACTCAGTCTACTATTCGAGTAGTGGAGTACTATTTACAGTTACTGTATAGTACTGCTTCTTGATCCTTCGGCATATTCCGTTCCTATAGTATTTCAAACTGATTATGCTGCAGCAGCCGCTGCAGCCATCACTACCACCACCACCACTATTCCACATGAATTCTATCGCTCTATCATCCGGACTCTTGGAGGCCTTGATGGAGTTAGACTGATTTGTTCTAGATCAACAACCATCGTCCTCGGAGAAGGAACTGCCTGCCTGTTTCCAGCAGCCACAAAAAGTTCTTCCCCACTCCTCCAACGAACCTTTCCTCAAACTCCCTCTCTACCCCCCCCACCACCCCCATATCACTCGATTGACAGCGATTCGATGATCATACAAGCTCCGAAAGAAGCATTCGTCGCTGAATCAATCATCTTCGACAGTTTCGAGGTGTTCTTGCTGTCGGATGGATGTTCCGGCGCCCTCTCGTGTAACCGCCGTTACTTTGGAACTGGAGCCGGATATCTTCCGGGAAACCCCGTTGGACGAACAACTCAGGGGTAAGAGATAGTGCTTGCGCTAGGCCTGGACCGAGATTCAGCTGGCAACTGTGTGCTGTTTTATTCCTTGCCGGCGATCTGGTCGCTCGAACCTGTCGGCAACTTAACCTTTGCCCAGCTACCGATTAAGTATTGTACAGTACAACGAGTATTGTTCCCGGCGCGATATGCCGTCGGTCTCATCCAACTCCCAGGGCACAGTGGTCTGCTTTACGCCTAGGAGGTATTTTGTTAACTTTTCGTTAACGGTCAGGCCTCGCCTTGAAGATGACTTCAGCTTGATGCACTCCACTCACCCCAAAACTTAGAGGTACCTTCTAAAACCCACGGTGAATGCCTTCCCACACTTACCCGGTTCTACTCTTTGTGAGTATCACTACAGGGGCGTTGAAAATAACGGGCGGTCTCCCGCAGCTAGGTCCAACAGCAGTTCAATAACCCACCCCATCAGCACTTTTGCAGATATGACAGCAAAGCTAATCCGATGGGGAAACACACGTGGTGCTCACTAGACATGGATGGTATCTCTTTATCTCTAGAATGATCACCATAATGATGATTCCCCGTAACGCCTGGAACTATCGAGATCCCAGCATGGATTCAATGAGTTTCACTGGGTCTTGGTATCTTTGTGGCTGGTTCTATTGCCAATGACAGCTTTCTGGTCCAACTACTGACTGATAATGGTCCTGAATCGAATGGAAGACACTTGGGTCATGACGCCCTTCCTTAATCTTTGGGACTTCAGAAGGGCAATCTCTCCTCCCTCTCTCGCCGCTGCTTCTTATTTACTTTTTCCTCGTCCCCTTTCTCCTGAGCCTCCCATTGTCGCCGCGTCCCATCTTACGGGCGGAAGCCACAGAGAACCTATAGTCGTCTCATCTCGAGCTTCATTAGACAATTGATCGATTTTCCGTGTCCGATCTCGATCTTGGTTGAAAAGGGACGACACTAGTACCTTAGTTCAACCACCTCCTTTCCACATATTGCCTGCACCAAAGCTACCGCAATGGCGGCGAAAGGATTGGTTTCGATCTGGACCAATCGTTGTGTGCAAGTGCTGCAGGTTTGAGCACAAGCAGATGTCGACAAGGTCCTGTCAGTCAGTGACAATCTGCACCGGGCTCGTGCCCCTGACCTTCCTGCATACTTAGTCGATCTTTTTCTTTTGCCCCACAGTCCAGGTCAACCCTCGTTCGCGAGAGTTGGTTACCTTCATCTTATTCGTTTTCAGGCTGCATTTTTCCCTCCCTCCTTTTTTTGAGGCTTTCTTGGTCACTTACGGCCAGTTTTTGTTGTTCTGGTTCACTTGACGCTTTCCCAGCCCTCTAACAAGAGAAGTTCAGGGAGTCTTAAGCCTTGCACGATACGTAGACCCGGGTCCAGAGCTAGGCTGGCGATCTTTGCTTGACGCTACTAATGCTAGTCAACCACTCCATACTGCCATGCCAGGGCTCCGCTCACTTATTCGGGCTTGACGGTTGAGCCACATTGGCACGTTGCTGGAACACGGCCGATCTTAGGACTCAGTCTTTGCTCTGAACGTTCGTCCTAAGGCATAGCAGCCAAGCTTTCCGAGACATCGGTGTAATATTCGCAGATTGGTGCGGTCCGTTTGCATCGTGCTCTGAATAAGTTGAGTTCTTCCTTAATTCTTGGCTCCGGATTTCTATATCTCTCTGCCGAAGCTGCTCGTGGACCTGACTGGTTGCTGCCGATCTGACCTAAGCTAAGATAAGTTAACTCTATGATGTCAAAAGTACCAGTCAAGACTAGACCGCCGAAAGAAATTTGTTTGATGGTTGAAAATAGCAGGCGTCAGGCCAATGGGCTTTGCATATCAACCATTGTTCAAGCAGAGAGCAAACATCCACACGTTCGTTGCTCCCGCCTTCTGGTCAATAGCTTGGTATTCGCGCTGGAGGCGCTCATGCAAACGTAGGCGGTGGCTGTCCGCTCATCGAGGCTGTCCTGGCCGGTCGCTTCTGACGCAGGGCCCTATCGCTGGCTACAAAATATCATCATTCAAAGACCAGGACCAGTGGTGAAAGCAGCACATGTGGAGTTCACGTTGGCATCTATTCGCTGAGACCGACCCTGGAGATCTCAGTCTGCCCAGCTTAGAGTGATAGGCTTGACTGTGGTTTCTATCAGGCCATTTCTACAACTGGTGCAACGTTACTCCGAATTTGTGAGACTGAAGTCCCTACAACGCCGGGATATTTTGTCTCTCTGTTCTTCTATCATTGTGTCATGGAGACCAGACCTGAATCCCTGGACACATCATTACTGTTTTGTTTTTGTTCTTGCTTTTTCTTTTCTTTCTTTCTATTTTTTTTCTCTTTCTCATGGTTCTTTTCTTTTCCCTTTTACTTCTTTGCCTGAATGAGATGCAGCACGGTTGTTTGCATGGTGCTCTCATTTGTACACCCAGACGCCTAGAAGAAACAGGTATTAAACTGGCCACACTCTTTTGAATGGGGAAGCGATCTAATTCCCTTTCTAGTTTTAGGGGCTTCGGTAGGGGAAGACTTTGTTCTCTCTGAAAACCGCCTGCCAGCAGTCGACTTTCATCGAAATGACAGAATACGACATCAGGGGAAAAAAAAGAACGAAAGAAAAAAAAGGTGAAGGGCCAGACTCTCTTTCAGAAACCATACGCAACACTAACACATGGACTTAAAACTGGCCTTGCTTCCGGCTACAGCCCTCTCACCCTTCCTGGTTCCTTTTTCAATACTTAGGGGATGGACCGGATGTCTTGATTGCAACAATCCCTGATCTATAGACCTTTTTATGCTCCTTGGTAACCTTCTGAGAAGCTTTTTTCTTCTGTAAACTTGTCTCGAATACATGTGAGTCTCGAATTCGGGAAACACCATGTTTTCGCCCACGCTGACGGATGAAGTAATGGCTCACTCTATATACTCCCCGGAGGAGGAGGTGGTTGGCTTCGATTCACAATCTAAGCGAGATGCTCTATCGATACCCACGCGCACCGGTCGAGGCGATAGCTACCAGGACATGGTGGATAGAGCCGGTTGTCAGAGTCCCAATCCCGAGATCGACAGCAAGAGTCGAAACTCGACACGCCGCCGCATTCAGGTAGCGGTAAGTTTGGCTCCCCTTGCTCTTCCTCTTCTTGTCTCGGTCTCCTCCAAACTGTCTTCTTCTTCTATGACTGACGAGTTGTTAGTGTAACCGTTGCCGAAAAAGGAAAATCAAATGCAGCGGCGACAACGGTGATGGGCAGGGCTGCTCCAACTGTCGCAGCTCTGGAAATGCCAACTGTCAGTTCTTGAGGGTGAGTCCAGAGGTCGTGTACACTCTAGGTGGCAACAGCCAGAGCTTACTCTTAACGCAGGTCAATTCTTCGATGATGCAGGCGAGAGTGAGCTGGCCCTATCCAGCGATGAATGCTACGATGTCCTCTCCTCACCGACATGGGTCATATGTGCAGTCAATGCCACCAAAAACGATGGCCACTACGTTAGGGAATCCTTCTACTTTGCGCGTGAACCCTTTCGCCCGGGCACCTGGCTATGGCTGTGGGTCAGCTGAGTCGCAACTGTCCGTTGGTCGACAGTCGTTTGGGTGCGTTGACAACGCCACTCACTACGAGGAAGACCCCGGGATGTACAGCCCTCAGACTTCGGGGTATATGATCTCTGGGGCACCGCAGACCGTCATGGCGGAGTATTGTGGGCTCCCATGGAGTCCCAAAGCGTGGAGTCCTAATGTGTATTTTGGCCGGAGCCCTAGCCCAGGCATTTTCGCCGAACACGAGAGCGGGAGTTCCTTGTCTCAACCTCTATATCCCTACATGTTCTCGGGACCTCCAAGTCAAATCACTGATGCCCCGCCGATTGTGCCAACAATGAGCTGTACGTCCGTCGAGGGACAAGGGGTGGATCGGACGCTTCCTGACCCCACGAGTCGAAGTCAAGGTCCACAGTGTCCTGCTGGATTTACACTCACGCCCGAAGTTCTTACGCTGCCGGAGGCCGTGGATCATCGAGCCGGGGTTGGTTGGAACTACAAGAGCGCCACCGGCTCTAACAACAATATTCTTTCCTCAGTCCAACGGTTTCCGAACGAAGCCGTAGGCGGCAGTCCCGTCACTCGGACGAGGACGAGTGCGCAAGACATGGTCTTCGGAACTCCTCTGCTCACTACCATTGGTGCGCCTTCTATTTTGTCCTCCTCTGCCGGGCCACTTGCTGGCTTGGAGACGGCCACCACGAGCGATGATATTCGTGGGAGTGGGGATGGTGGTCAAGCCTCGAGAACCCTCGCGCAGAGTCATCTTCCCGACGCCGGCTCGGACATCTACGTATACAGCAGCAGCGAAAGGAGGGACAAGCACTCATACAAGACGGATGGGTCAGCATCAGTGCTGATGAACGGGCTACCCTACACTCGCCCTGGGCCGGGGCTCTATGGGCCACCGATGACTACCACGCCAGTCTGCCGCCCTGACACAGTGATTTATGCACCGCCGATACCACCGCTACATCATCCCAGCGACTTCTAATCCTTCATTTTGAAGGAGGGGGTCATTGTTGTTGTTCTGACAGGCAAGCGCAAGTCTGCTGGGAAGTATGGATAAGCGGTAACCGACAGCAAGACTGTTGGTACGTGACACAACCCAAGAGCTGAGACAAACGTGATCGGCTCGATTCAACGAATATTGGGGTACCCCCAGTCCCTAATCATTTGAGAATGGAGGGGGGCGTGTCATCTCCCCCCCCCCCTGATTAATTCTAGACATGAAAAGGTAAAATTAATACTGAGCGTTGGCGGCAGTTCCTCTCCCCACCCCATGGGGCCTATTGGTAATCTCAGCACGCGCAGACAATGCGCTGGCTCTTCGTTACATTATTTTTTCCCTAGAGCGAAAGAAGAAACCAAAAAAAGGGAAGGGGGAAAAGAAAAGAGGCATGTTACACTAATACTAGGGATTGTGTTGGATTTGAGATTCCTAGGACTTGCTCGGTGTTGTTGTTTTGTGTTGAATTCTTTTGCCTGTGATTGGCACGACTGGGGAGGTTCTCCGTTTTATCTTTGGCTGTTTGTCTTTCCTTTCCTTTGTTTTGTTTTCACTTTTTTGTTTCTCTTGGGTTTAGGGTGGCTACTATTTTGTCTCCTGTAGATGATGATCCCGCTCCGTTGGGACTTGATTATTGTAATACGTTTTTATTGTTGTTGTTGTTGTTGTTGTTGCTGATATTTCCGCGGACTTGTCCATGCTACAGGCAAGAGTGAGTGGTGGGTTATTTGTTAGTTAGCAGCCTGACTGGGGTTACACTGCTGGTACTAACAGACTGTTGGTGACCCCCCAGCCTTAATGTGATATTGTACATAGTATATACCTATACCTATCTATACCTATACCTATACCTCCTGAGGGGAAATCCACCCCCATGACCATAACCATATCCATCCATCTCTTCCCCTCTCCCTTCTCCATTCCTCTTCTCCGACCCAACCAAAAAAAGAAAAAAAAAAACCAAAAACCACCAACCATTGACGAATAAACCATTTCCATCAGAAAGTAACCCCCTTTCCCCCCGGCCCAAACTCAGACCCTCTCAGAACTCATCCCGCCAGCAAAAGCAAGTCCAGAGGGGCCCGTGCTTTGGCTTTCCCAACGGTGCTACTTCCCTCCAATTTCTCTGTCGTTCCCTCGCCTTGTGCACCCGGAGGATCTCAGACACGGGGGCTAGAAGGAGCTAAGAGAAGTAAGTAAGTAAATAAAGGAAGGTCGTAAGCTGGAAAAGACGATCCTGTAACCTCGCTCCAGCTCGGACCTTCCATACCCTCGTCCAGGGTCTCCCTTTCTCGCGCGCGCTCTCTCTCTCTCTCTCTCTTGTTTCTTGGCCCTTTCCCCCCCTCCCTCCTGAAATATAACCTAAATTGGAGCATAGCAAGTGGATGCCAGGTGAGTGATTACCATCACCGGGAAAAGAGGAATCTCATCCGGGGCCCGGGGCCTGGGATCCGGGGTCTGTGGTGATACTGTACTGTAATACTACTGCTATCCATATCGAGAGGAAAGAAAGCTACGGACGTACGTACTAGTCTACTAGCTCTATGCTTCCGTGTTCGAATACGCGGGCGTAGACGGGGGGGG